CAAATCTGATTTCGATGTTATATTTGAAGTGTAACCCTCAATATTAACTCATTGTCTTTGTTTACAGCAAGGACTGTGTATGTGTTTTTAATCCTAAGTGAGGGTATTTCTGTATGGTATAATGGCCTGTGTATACGTGAAGATTATTTGAGTTACAATGTAACATGACAACAATACCAACAATAAGACATATTTAGAATAATATACATACCTAGGCATGATAAAAATAATAATAATAATAATAATAATAATAATAATAAATAATAATAATAATAATAATAATAATAATAATAATAATAATAATAATAATACATTACATTTACAAAGCGTTTAATACAATGTTTCTAAGCGCTTAATATACATGTAAGGTACAACGTAAAATAAACACACAGCAATAATAATACATAATTATAATAATAACATTACAGATAAATTAAAAACTGCCCTATAAATTACTATTAAACAAAAAAATACTTCAAACTTGCATTAAAAGACTCTACAGATGGGGATTGACGAATAATATTTGGTAAACTGTTCCATAATTTAGGGTCTGCAATAGCAAAAGTACGATAATAATAATAATAATAAAAATTACGATAATTCTGTTTCCCCAGGGAAGCCCTATCAGCATCATGCTGTTCTTGCTGTAATACAACTTCCCCAGCAACTGTCGGGTACCCTCTTACTTTTGAATGGAGAGTATTAAATGCGGATTAATATCGTGCCAACGGGAATTAGTGCCCGGCTGGGATTCGAACCCTCAACCCTTGTATTGAGAGTCAAGTGAATGAACCACTATACCACGGCACCTCCACAGAATAGCCGCCTCCAAGACACATCCAGCCTACATAACAACCCCTAGATCACTCTGGTTTGATTGTAGTTACTTGTTAAAGGAAACATTAAAGATCGAAAATGGAGACATGAACACGATGAAGGATCATATTCCAAAAGGTAATACCAAAGCTAATGGGATCGTAGTGAGTGCGGTATTAATCTCTCGCATCACAATGCGTGTGTTTACCTTGCCATGTATCTCTGTAAAGGCTGATCATCAACACCGAGATGGCCAACATCTGCATAGACACGGACATGATTCGAGGAAGGATATCTACCATAGCATACAACGAAGCTCATCTAAGATAGTGTTCCTCTTGCCTCTGCTTCCTGTACACAAGAAGGTTGATGTTCCTAGATAATGTATTTCTTAACGATGTTCAAGCAGAGCAATACACTTATTCTTATTTTCCACCAAGCTGTCGTTCCCAAAATGTCAATTAGTAGGTAGACGTAGTCATGAAGTCGTGTTTTCCCGTACCAAAAACTTAAAGCATAGCTTGTTTTTCCTCGTTGTAAGTCGAAACGAAGCAATGTATTTTTAAGGCCAAGTTCCTCAACGTTCGTCACAAGCCCTTGAAAGGTATTAAAATACACTTGACTCGTTCCGGTTTACATTGATACTTGCATGACGTCATGTTTACATTTAGCATTGTACGCGTACCTGACACAATGCTTCATACAAATGATACGAATGAGATCATTTGAGAGCACATTGGTTCATATTGGACATTAACACATATTATTCTTGTTCAGACGGTGGCAAGTTACCCTAGGGTACAGGTCGTTTTAAGTATGGCGAGGTAGGTGTAAAGGTACGAGCAGTGACCGTCTGAACGATGATCGTGTTAGCTATACCTGGGTGTAGCTACCTTTACCCCGACTTATTTTAATACTCCTGGAAAATTCAGGAGTAACTCGTTAACACGACTATAGGGTAGCGTAAGTTGACAGTGTGGATGCTCTCAACTTACACCTGGGATTATCTGTGACCTTTCACGAGCCATCTAAACACAGAGTTTGGCCAGCTTGGTTTCACTGGGTCACAACACGGCATACATTCTTTTGTTTTGTGCTTGCTCAACAAAGCAGTTGGACAAACTCTGTGTATAGTTACGCTGGTCGGTGGAAGGCCGTGTTAACTTGCTCGTATTAAGTTGGTCCGAGTAAGAGCGTGTGGACAACTGTTGGTGTTAGTGAAATATACATTAGGTGTTTACTGCTGCCGGGATTAAAATTACACCGACTAGCAAAAACCCGTCTGAACAAGTCTTTGCTAGCCACCCGACTCAACTTGATGCATAATTATTATTTGTTATGGAACCTTGTTTTCTGTAGGGACGTCAGGCTATTATGTTTACAGTTTCGGGATAGATGCACGAAAGCACTGAGGAGATATTTATATTGGAACCGGTCAAATTAAAAAAAATGATTCTCAAACAACAAGGGAAAATCATTTTAATGAATTATAATTAGTAGGCCTATAATGAGGCATTGGGGGCCCGCCAGACAATTTTTCTTTTATTTCGAAACCTTCAGATTCTAATTCGTATCCCAAATGAAGAGCATTATGTATATGCTCAGCGCGTTAGTGGTTCGTTAAAATATCGCCATCATACGTTAAAGGGGCTGTACTGACGTGACTATATGCGTCTTTCCCGAGGCGCACTCGGGGAAAATCGGGTATATTAGCGAGCTTTCGATTTAGGCACCGGACGTCGGCTGAGGAACTGGAGCGTGAAGACGTTGCGCAGCTCACGTCCATTTCAATCGCGGCAGTGCGTTCGATTTTTTACGACGGTGCTTTCGTCGGTCACGGGACCAATTTTTGAGATCGGGTGATTTATTCAGGTAATAAATTCACAGTGCACGAAAATCTGATACGAAGAATAACATAAGGATGACAGAAATAGCAAGTTAGAATGATACAAAAAAAGATTTAAAAAAGATAAGATGTGAAGAATAAACAAAGGATAACAAGAGGCAAAAATAAAAACAAAGAATAACATAAGAGAAGGTGATAGAAGGAAGAAACAAAAAATAACATAGGATAGACAGAAAGAGAAAGTGATAAAATGATAAAAACAAAGAATAAAATAAGAGAAGGTGATAGAAGGCCTTACTTGATAAATAAACGGCAATTACCTCCATGCTGTCGTAGCTATGCCACTTGTATCGTGTCATTCAATTCAGCTTCTTCATCTCGGGATAAAGTTTTCTTTTCAAATCAATCCACTGCGTCAGACTCCCCCCGCCCCATCTCTCTCTCTCTCTCTCTCTCTCTCTCTCTCACTAACGCTTTCTATCTCACTTTTTCTTTCCTTATCTCTCTCTCTCTCTAATGCTCTCCTCTGTCTTTATGCCCTAGATCTCCCCTCCCCCCTCTCTCTCTCTGTTGCGATGTGTCTCTACAGTTTCCTCGCGTTATCTCATTTAACATATGAACATAAATGTACCATGCGTATCAGCTCTACGAGGGAATACAAAACAGTTCATCATGATATTGTATTGTTCGGTAAGCATAATTAGTATTGCTAATCAGGACCACATAAAGCCTTAACATTTACATAAATTTATGATCACACAAGCATTATAAGAAAAGAAAAATATATTCAGAAGAAATTGTGATTCATGTATATTTCAAAATTGTCTATAATAGTAATAAGAATGTTGCCGAGCATCTACACAGAAGTGAGAAATCATATGTATGAGGAAATATAACTTCAAATGTTTGTCATGAATGGTAATATCAACATTTCAAAATGGAACGTCAGTCTCGTAAATGGTATATTCTAATTTTTACAGGATATCATTCTCACAACAAATTATTGCGATAAAAAATGTATAAAAGATGTACGAATGAATGAACTATTAATTATATGTATCTAATATTCTAGGAACAACAGCCAATGTTATGATATAAGATTTTAATTAACCACCTTACTGCAGGGGAAAAAAGAATACAAATTATCGATCTTCATAGTACTGAAAGTTGCCTACAAAAAAAAAGAAATATATGTAGGCCTATAAACAGATCAGCTTGATGTTGTCGGTACTGTTTTGTACAGCAGCATATAGAATATATGAGGACGACATTCTTAAAACGCATATGGTAAACAGATATCTATACATCAGAACATGAGTCTCATAATTATGCGTCACCTTCATTTTGTTGTTGTTGCTTTTGTTGCTTTAATGTTACTTCGGTGATAACGAGCTGTTGAACTTGCTTTCCGAGGTAACTTGAATACAACCCACTGACAATTATTGTCAAAAAAGCTTACCATTTAATAAAGTCACGTCTATCAACATTATTGCGATGGGGGTAAATACTATTTATTTTAGTAATTATCATTATCAATTACAACAACAAAAATCAGATACGGGATGTCAAATATGTGGGAAAAATATAAATGGATATAACTTTAATCTAGAAGTATATTACCGTTGGCTTCATAGTAGCATTATGTACATTTTAAAAATATGTTATTGTTATTTTATTTATTTTGTTATTTCGTATTATTTCATTTTATGTTAAATGCAAACATACTTCTAACTATTGACTAATTTGAAGGAAGAGCATATTTACCAAAGATGAAACTTTCTGCGATTGCAGAGTAATACAAGAGTTACTAAAAGGTAACTCTTATATAATATCAAAACGCAACAAACAAATATAACGAAACAAAAACAGACAAGTTTAAAGGTAATACAAAGTTTTGGGAATTTATGAAAAATGGATGGACAGTGATTCTTCACCATTTTTATATATTTGGATGCCCCTGTGCAGGCGCGTACGCAGGGGGGGGGGGGGGGGGGATCGGTGTTAACCCCCCCCCCCATCTTGAGTTTTTTTATGTGTATGTTTTTTGCGGGAACCCCCCCCCCCCTCTAGAGTGTTGATTTTTTTTTTAATAATTAAAAAAAATAAATCTAAATGGATGACCTAAAAAAGATGACCTTACCCCCCCCCCCCCTCAAACGGAACGGAATGTCGATCGGTCAAATTTTCATATTTCGGGAACAACAAAAAACAAAAAATGTCCTCTTACCCCCCCCCCCCCCCCCCCCCCCTACCCCGCTTATTCAGCGGCTGGCTGAGTCGTTGCGATATTTTTGGCCCGATTTCAAAATGTTAACCCCCCCCCCCCCTCTTCTATGTATAACATAATTATATAAATACTGGGTAGTACCAAAATCATACAAGTAAACTCATTACGAGAACGATTTTATTTTTACTGAGTGTTTATAATAAGCAACATAGTCGATTAAAATCGAGCAAATTTTGCATTTAATTGAATTCTGGGTTAGTTATATAATGTACAACAATGTATTGAAATAATATTTGCTAGAGGCAGCTACTTCTAGTACTATACCTAACACTAATCATAAACTAATTCAGTTCACAATTGTCAGATATCACCCCTACTCTGTACCATGTTTATATATATTTGATGAAGAAGAAAAAAAGCTTCGTGTAAACGTCGGACTAAAAGTTTGGCGTCTGAAGTTTATGACGCACTTTTCAAAGTACATGGAAATTTATTCTTGTAATTATTTCTATATGTTTAATAATTGATTTCAATCATGTGCACACAACTCTAAATTTTGTTTGTCGAGATTATGTCCCATTAAAATGGAATAACTGTGACCCGCCAAATTACTTTAACAATCTACCAAATAACTAACAGTCATCATTATCCACTTGATTTTGAAATGAAATTATTCATTGTCTCCGATTCTTTCTCACAACTATTATCATTCTATACTTCATTCCTAGACAATACAAGCCAACATGCACCTGGTCTACACGTTTTGTCATTTCAGATCCATTCACATGCAGAACCAAAGATTGAGACAAAAATCGGCAATAATTCATTCTTGAATATTATAAACTGTTTGGAAAGTGGAAAAAAAATGAAGCTTGCTACAGATTGACGCTAGATAATGTATGTCTTTGCCGGTACACGTTAATACTAAAGAACATCCGAACATACATAAATCATCAAACTTGCTACAGATTGACGTAGATGATGTACCGTATGTCTTTGCCGTACACGTTAATACTAAAGAACACCCAAACATACATAAATCATCAAACTTGCTACAGATTGACGTAGATGATGTACCGTATGTCTTTGCCGTACACGTTAATACTAAAGAACATCCGAACATACATAAATCATCAAACTTGCTACAGATTGACGTAGATGATGTACCGTATGTCTTTGCCGTACACGATAATACTAAAGAACATCCGAACATACATAAATCATCAAACTTGCTACAGATTGATGTAGATGATGTACTGTATGTCTTTGCCGTACACGTTTATACTAAAGAACATCCGAACATACATAAATAATCAAACTATACCTTTATTATTTCATTTTCTTTTCTCTTTTTACTTTTTTCACGATCGTTTTGATTTCATACTTTTTCATGTTTATTTTGTCATATTTTTAATGCGAGGACAAATATTTTCATTTCCCAGTAATCTTGTAATCCTGATGAAATATATCTGAATAAGTGAATGAATAAGAAATACACTTGGAAAAATCTCCCTGTTTTTGTGAATCCAACCTTGTACCCTATAATTATAACAAAATCCTAGTAACTGAATGTGTATATTATTTGTATTATATCACTTAGAGAGTAGGACATACCCTGCTATGAATGTTATACTTTTACCAAGTATAATAAGAAGATAATTCTGGTAGTAAGTCCACTTCCTAAAGTTCATACGCAAAGTTTTCATAGAGGGTTTCCCCATCTGTTGTCTTAGCCTGTACATGTTGTGTTTCCCCATCTTCACTCGCATTTCTTTCCTCTGTCTGTGTTTGCGATGGACACGCTGTGGCGCCAGCTTCGATTTCGGTTAACTCATACACGCTCTCTACGGCGGCAGGACGTGCAGCGCAATCCAAGTTCCCGTATGTATGCTCGTCAGCGCAAGGCAACTGTTCGTAATCGTTGGTTTGTATATACCCATTGATCAGCATATGGATTAATGCATACTCCTCCTGTAATTAGAATAACATATTATAAAATGCCTGTCAAGATTTCGCTTTATGCTCGAATGAAGTGTTTAAAAGTCGTCACCTCTTTTAGAATTACAATATGTGTTTTCTTTAACGATATTTGATCTGATAATGTAAGAATTGGAAGACAGATATCCCAGAAAGCCCATGTAGATATGTTTGATATATTATTAAACAAAAGATGATATAAATCAAGTGAGTATAAAATTGAAAGTATAATAATAAAACTAGAGTACATTAGAGAGGAGAGAAGGAAAACATAAAAACCTGCCTACATGAAACAGATTGTTTGGTTATATACACTATACAAATACTTAAATTATGACATTTCCTTGGACTTTCAAAATCTTTATACATTTATAAGGATACACAATTAGTCATAATTGTATCCCAAACGTTATAAGTATTGGATATAGTTAAATTTTAATCTTCTGTTAACTAACAGTATCCAGGCTCTTCGTCTCTATTTATTTCCGTTTTTTACAACAAAACAACAACAACATACATCATTATATTTAACTAACAGAAGGTGAGAAATTTAATTACGAAACAAATTCATGAAGTAGTATACATGCAAAAAAAAACAACAAAATTAATCTCAAAGTGATTGATGCTCTAATTCATATGGCTAAACACGAGGTCCACCTGGTTTATGTACGCAAGTGGTTAACAGTACTATAAAGTTTGAGCTAATAAATGTCATGTCTATACGGGATACTTTACCTCGGTTTGAACGAAGTGCATCCTATCATTCCGCATCATCTTGACCGTTTGGAAGACATTGACATCATCCTCGTCAAGTATCTGGGAGATGCACTCAAGAACAGTACAGAAGACTGCGGTGCGACCTACTCCATTCCTGCAAATAAAAAGATAAATAGGGTATTAAGTAAAAGTAAGACTTTTTTCCTAGTCACCTAAACAAATCTTCAAATTAAGGCTGAGGGCGGGATGCCAGTATCCAGGGCCCTTCGTCTCTATTTATTTCCGTTTTTTAAATGCATAAAACTACATAGATATATTTAACTAACGGAAGGTGAGGAATTTAATTACGAAACAAATTCATAAAGTAGCGTACATGTAGGTCTACACGTAGAAAGTTTAATACCTATGGTAACTTTGTAAAGGGCATTATATACACATTATGATGATGAAGTACTGGCCTCAAAACCGTAAACAGATCTGGCATTATTTTATCAACAGAAAAGTATCGTCACCCTGGACATTTTGATTTTTAGCAATGAAAAAAATTCAATATAGACTTCTATTAACTATTTCGAGACAGAGCACGTCGGTGTGTGTGTGCGCGTGCGTGTGTGTGTGTGTGCGTGTGTGTGTGAGGGGGTGTGCGTTAGTTAACACATTAACATCAGGAGAGACAATGAGTGGGGACGATTACTGATAGATCGTGTAGAATTGTAGATGGAAAGTCCTTTTAGTAGTGAGGTCCAACTGTCAACATTTGTCTTATTAGTATGTCCCATTTACAAACGGTTCCTAACATCGCGTTAACTCTTGAAATAGTACATATATATATATATATATATATATATATAAGAAAGTCTGGATATTCATATACTATTTCACTATCTGGACTTGCAAAATAGGCCTATCTGATGTATATTAAATTTGTTTTGGTCTGCATACTTACAAGCAATGCACTACGAGCGGTGACTCGTTTTGAGTAGAGTAGACCTCCCTCATTTCCTCTATGAGCTTTAGAATGGATCGTGCGCTCTTCTTCTGTTTGATCACATCGACGGGCCAATCTACAAACTGGTACTGCTCTACAACATGACGAACCTAACAAAATATTCATGAAATATGAACAAACTCATTATCAAAAATGGTTTGTACGTCACGGCCTCGTCCCGAATATTAAGTCTGAATCAGATATTTACAAATCTTTACAGTCTAAAAAATAAATGTCTTTTAAGGTTTTATTTTTAATGCAAATTGGTTTATCTAGCGATCTTCACGGCGATATTCATTCCTCGATTGAGTAAAGATGAACATGTCTTTGATGATACTAGCCGAATTCTACCTCCCCGTATCCCCTCTGTCCCTCTTTCTACCTTTCTCCATTTTTTCTCTTTCTTGAGATCTCTTGCTCGCGATGTCTCTTTCGTTCTCACTTTCTCTATAAAGTTCGATAGAGCGTTTTGACGTGTTATGTATCATTTCTAAAACACTGAAACTTCTCAGCCATTAAAATGGGGATTAACACCTTAAATTTTAGAGTGTAAAATATCTTGTTTAAGTGTTAAAGTGGGTGTTAAACTGGTCTACATATATATCCCATTCAAGAAGATTTTTAGACAGCTTTCTATAACATACTCAGCCAGTTGGGTAGCCGGGGGGCGATGGGGGCGGTCGCCCCACAAAAAAAAACGCAGACCAAAACAAAACAAAAAAGAGAAAGAGAGAAGAGAAGAGAAGAAAGTAAGAGGACGTAGGAGGAAAAAGGAGCAAAGAAACATTTTTGAAAATTAAGACAAGGATTAAGAGTCGAGAACGAATCGTCTTCTTTCTCTAATAATGTAATGAAACGTCATAGCTTCCGCGCTTCTTCACCTCCCTGTACTTACCCCCCCCCCCCCTGCTCCCTACCGCCCCCTAAAATAAAATCCTAGCTATGCGTGTTTGCTCCATTAACATGACTGCAGGATTTTCAAAGAAATTCGCCATGTTTCTTTACAATTCACCAAAGTACTTTCGATGTACGCTTTTCGGCAATTTTGTTTAGAGCAAACTAGCAATATCGATCAAATAAATAAAGAATCCCCAAAGTAAAACCTGTCAAGAACATGAGAAACAAAGCGAAACAAAACTAAACAAAAACAGTCCGTTACTCTTGATAATTGGTTTAAGTTTTAGAATACCTATATAGACCTAAACAGGATCGCATTAAGAGGACGCTTTACCTTATCTCCTCTAGAAACTTCCAATGTCCTTTGGATGAAGCCTTCCCTTTGGGTAATCGCCAATGTTAAGACAGAGAGATATCCAAAGGTCGCCATCCCATTGTCGAACCAGTACCGTGCACAGCTCTAGGAGAATGTTCCAAACAAATTTAAAGTCAAATAATTTCTTTATTAAAATCCCAACATGAAGAACTATTCCCAATTATCAGTTAACAAAGGATATTATAAATACATGCCAACAAGCCCCGCCTTACAATCTAGCCAAAAACTATACACCAAGGAAGGTTCTTCTAAATAGAAAGAAAGGCAATTTACAATACAGACGCGTTAAAACTGCTGAAATGTTATTTTATCGCATGTCATCTATACCAATACTCAGTATACATTGGTCTTTTTAAAAATTAATAAGGAACATGAAATCAAGATCAAAGATGGCAAATACGTTTAGGAATGTTTAAGCTTAACAACACGGTCTATGGAAGTCCCTTCTTTACATGTTCAATGCAGAAATATATCTATTACTATCTACTACATAATAATTGTTTCTATTTTCATTATTCGGAAGATAGCCCTACATGGCTAGAAAAAACAAATCAATTTTCATTCTTTTCATTCTTTTCAACGAACATTACAATCAGTAAATTAAATCTATGTTTATTATGTTGTTTTACTACACATAGATACCTTGTCTCGTTGATTATCATCATTCAGCATGATGATAGCCGTTGGTTGGTAGTCAAGTATCATTACCCAGAAATCAGCTACGGTGTTAGGCATAGGCATCTCAGTGGTTATGAACCGACCATGATTGCCCTAACCAAGATATAAATCGATCATAAAATTGCTTTTTAGGTTTTATAGGTAAGCGTTGGAACTCCTCTTTACAGGAGATTGAATTCCAACTAGCCTGAATTGATATTTATGACAAAGAGTGTTCGAGATGATAGCTGTTTTATTGGAAAAATAGTTCGTTTTGTCGTCAAATGAATAAAGACGAATATACTATCGTTTATCTTTATTGTCCTACCTGCAATTGCTAAAAGGCCCATATCATTGTCATGGCTTGAATCTTTGTAGTGATTCCCTTAAATTTTACAGTTTGCAGAAATGTTTCTTTCGGACCTCTCAGTTTGCTCAAAAATAGGTAAAAACAAAGGTAGGCGCAATCATCATCTAATTGAAAATGCCGTTATATAAAGAATGAGGCAAACTGTAATTTCTTACACACTACATTTACTCAAATAACTTGAAATAGTCATATTGACTAAATGAAGGTACATCAAACCAGATTGATTGACTCTAAACAGATGAACTTTAGATCATAAAGTAATTAAACGATTACAACTTACTCTCACGAAGCTAGCATTGATGAAATCTGAAGACTGAGTGTTAACTGAGCGCAGCATTACTCGATTCACTCGGCCTTTATTATAATTTGGAGAAAAAAGATTGAGCAATAGAAAATAATAAAATCATTGCTCAGACCTTCATTTCGGTAACCTATGTTTTAAACGATGATTTGCCCTAAGACTAGATGTTCTAATATCTCGAGTAGGTATATGTTATATAAAAACGCCGATACCTTTAAAAAAATCAGTTATTTCTCCAATTTGAAAAAAAATGTATTGCAATAATTGTGTTTACAATATAAAATGATATCATCTGATGTCAGTTTGAGATTTTTGTTTCAGAAAAAACATCTATTCTATGTTATCTCATTATCATCACATCACAGCATGTATATATTCCACATATACTAGATATCACTGTATTGTATGTAATCATTGTCGCGAATGGGAAGATGATGAATCTTTACTTGGAAGACTGTTGCCGTATCGACTCTTAGGTTTATTCTCTGCAGTGGTTCCATTTCTGATCATACTTGCAGGAGGGTCGGGGCACAGGATCTTGATGCTCTACACAGGAGACAGGAGAAAAGAAGGACAACAGACTTGTAAAATGATGATCTCTATTAACAAATAGTATTATTCTTTCTGAGGCAATTTGATCGACCCCAGCCCCCTCCAAAATAAAGAAGAAATAAGGGAAAGGGTCTCAGAGGAGTTTGTGGGTACTGAAAAAACACAATTTAAGGTTTGAGGGCACACGTTACGAGTATGCATGCTCCCGGCAAATTGTACGTGACTAATACAACCATTTATTCAGAGGTACTTTCAAATTATAAACTCATATTGTACCGACAGATTGTTGGGCGGAAACCCCGGGTGGAAACACACACCATTACGATATCTTTAGTAGAGATAGGGGAGAGGGGCAATCGATCAATAAAGGATGTATTTATGGTGGTGTATTTTACCTCAAACTGGACAGACATTCCTGTTCGCCTTCCTTTACTGTTGCGATCAATATCCTGAAGCCTTGCCAAACGAGACGTGAAATAGTTGACCGGGATAGCCGTATTCTCCGACAGTAAGTATTCAAGAACAGCCTCGTAAACAAACTTGTACTGCTCCTGTATTTAAAACAAAGTAGAAACATTATACAATCCTTGAACGACGTCCTTTTCGGATTGACTTGGTGTTCAGATGGTACTATTATGTGCTTTTCCATCGATTACTTGATTTTATACCTTTATTAGGCCTAACCGTACTTACTTTGCAATGTTCGTTTATTGCCATACAATTTGTGGTGATATAATTTATACTGAAAGTTCTTGGTACGCACGTGCGATGAATTCCTTCAAAGTTTCATTTGATTCGTCAGGAAGCAAAATCGTTATAGACGAGAGCTGAGAGGGAAGTTTGGGTCCCGCTGAAAGGCCAAACTCGGGTTGGCCTTTTTGTACAAATTGAACTTTCAATGTAAGCCTACTTTATAAGATATATCTGCTAACTAATTCTCTTATTATCAATTTTGATTTGATAATTAGAGGATTTTGAATCATTACCATGCCTAAAAAGGTGTTCGATCTTTAAAGCCCTTGCATGATATTGATTCATGACGCCACATAAAGCGTTTCATTTTCCTGACCTTTGTCTGCACCATGTTGGGTCGACTCTGCCTGATCTTCGACACGAAACCGAAGATATCCACTAGCTTGTTTCTCTTGGCTTCACTGACTACACTGTCAATGGTTATCAACACACCTGTTCTCCCAACACCAGCGCTAGGTGGGAATCAAATAAAGAATTTTTATGGAACGATCCCATAGTGTATGCAATGGCCGTAATTGTGGTAAGTGTTGCAGAGTCATTACTATGTGTAGAGTTGGTAGAGGAACCATCTTCTCTTCCACATGCATTGATTTGGTTAGGTTTTTCGTTTTGCCGTCTCTTTTTTCTTAATAAAGTCTGGATTACAATTTATTGTCATGATTATCATTTGACACAACATTCTGTTATCATACTTATATCAATTTAATTTGGTAAAAAGTTTTAAATTCTAGTAGAATGGAAATAATAAGAATCAAGAGTAGCGTGATATGGTATCACTATCGTCCTACACGTATTTCGGTTATTTGACAAAATAACGGGACTATAGTATTCTAATCATGGTTCGAGTTTTTGTTTCTGGTCCTTTCTTCTGTTATGGAGCTCTCACACTCTGCCGTGTAGGCCTACCGTCCACCTGCCGGGCTATTAAAAAAAAAAACAGAGTCCAGAACGTTGGGTTTTGAGCGAACTTGTCCCCGGCCGCAAAAAAAAATTCATAAAATTAATCTTTTCACCGTTTCGTTGCCATCTTCTGACCGTTCTCACCGGGCGCATACCGGGTGTTGAACGTTCTTCTACCGTCTTCACGGCCCAGATTGACTTTTGTTGAAAATTTTGGCCGTTTCCATACCGGGCCCATACCGGGTCTCGAACGTGTGCACCGGGTTTGTAGCAGCCACCTACCAGTCACTTAGCGTCCCCTCACCGCTCGGAGCGTCCTGTGAGCGAGTCCCTAGCCTATTGTCGATGCCCTCGCGCTGTTGGAGTCTCTAACTTCTGACGAGCGAAGCGAGTCAGAGAAACCGAGGCGCTTGCGCGGAGGGCCTCTTGACAAGTGATCTGAATTTCTTATGTTTTACTATGTTTGGCGAATATTCCGACCCAGCAGAATTCGGTGAAAGTCATCAAATCAGAGAGAGCTACTAAGACGATATATCTACCGCTCTGTGCGAATTCCCTCCGTGAGATAGCCTTTGAACAAGGCCACCTGTCTGATAGACGCCGAGCGACTAAAAAGAGACTAATCGCGAAAGCCCAAGTGAACGACAGAGCGAGAATCACAGCCAGTTAGCTTTTGGTAATCTGGTTTTGATTTCTTATGTTAACCTTTGTTTCCGACTGGAATACTCTACCGAAATAGTAGAACGTTGAGGAGTATCCCAGAAGAAGAAGAAGTAGCGTCCAATCACCAAACGTATCCTCGCATTACGTCAGCATATAGTATCCATCACACACACACACACACACACGGAGTAAACTGTACGTATAGTACAAACATGGACCTACTAAGTTAACTACTGACGTTCATAGTTCACACACACACACACACTGACGTTCGGGCTAAGACTGGGGGATCCGTTCTAATTGGTCAATAAATGCAATGCTATGAATAATTCATGCGGAGCAGTAATATCTACATTGCAAAAGGCTCTCGTGGCGGTCGCGCGTTCACCCTGGGTATCTAGACTCATCTCAGCCGCTTAGCCAGTGTCGCGAGGCCTTGTCAAAAGGCTATATTGGTACAACCAGTAGGTACCAGTAGATAGCTGGGCTAGGCTTCTCTCAAGGCACAATGATTTTTTGATAAAGTGTCGAATTAGGGTCTGTGCTTGCAGACTAGCCTAGTTGGGCAATCCCGAACACACACGTACACACACACAATCGCTGCGGTCTAGACATGCATAATTCAGTAGGAAATCGGGTCTCATGAATATATAATTCAGATCACTTGTCAAGAGGCCCTCCGCGCAAGCGCCTCGGTTTCTCTGACTCGCTTCGCTCGTCAGAATTTAAAGACTCCAACAGCGCGAGGGCATCGACAAGAGGCTAGCGAGTCCCCGGACTGCTGACGTCATGACACGACTGCCATAAATACCCCGATTAGAACGGCAACGGTCAGTCCGCTCTCCATTTTTCATCACCGTTCTGTAACGGGTTATGAGCGTGTTGTGACCGTTTTCTTAACGTATTCATACTGTCCTCATACCGTTCAACACCGTCCTCTTGCCGCTTACTTGCGGCCGGTGCCAGCCGGCCAAAGTTTTGAACATGCCCAAAACTTTCGCCGGGTCCCACGGGGTGTAAATAAGCGCCAACGCCCTATTAACGTGTTGCCCGCTTTGATAACGAACCACCGTGTGCCCTCGCCGTTCTCCACCGTCCGCAGACATTTTCGCGCACGGTGGCACACGGTAGGCCTACACGGCAGAGTGTGAGAGTCACTTTAGGGATTTACCGCCGCCAAGGTCAAATGATTCTACGGGCATTTAAAATTCAGACCTTGGTCCTTTCCATTTTTAGACTAACCTGCAGTGAATGAACAATAGAGAGTATTCTGTCCATGTTTCTTTTATACCTCAGAGATGGTACTGGACCATGTACATTGTAACCGTCAAAGTGCCACATGGTATAATGTTTTTACCATGGTTACTATGGTACTTTTTATAACTATGGTTCTGACATGATACTACCGTGGTAAAACCCTCACAACGTCCCATGGTAAAACCATGGTAGTACGATTGTAGCAGGAAAAACATATTTACCATGTACTTTCTTATAAGGCAAGGTCATACGATTCTACAGGCGTTTTAGCATTCAGACCAAAGATCCTCGATGGTTAGACTTACCTGCAGTGAATGAGCAATGGAGAGTTGTTCTGTTCATGATCCTTCCTCACCTCAGAGATGAAGTCAAGCAGAGAGGACATGTTCCTTGGAACATCTCTGTTGATACGAGTTTTTCCCAATTTGACATTGTGACGTCAGAAGCGGGGTTTTTAGGTGGATTCTGCATTCAGGTCGTAGAGGGCGGGATTTGATTCTGTGGAGCTACTGATTTACGTTACACTGAATGTTTATTACACTGAAAAGTCTACTGTTAATTTTGTTTTCCTGAGACAGCCCAATGTTGTAAGTAGAAAATCACTGCATATTATGATAGCTCAATATTTACTCTTTTGCCTGATGTTAATGGTGATTATAATGGTGGATTGATGTGATGTATGAAATAAGATTAGAATCATAGAACATCCATACGTTTTGAATGTAAATGTACCACATATAAGTTTTGGTGTAAGTAGCGTATAAGATAATTCATGCTGGAAAAGTACGAAATATCCAAGTAAGGTTATGATATTATGAATGAGCAAGAAGCTCTATTAATGTATGACAGAATACGATTATGACTTAATTATGAACAGAAGATGATGGTCTAAATTTAGTTAGCTAGGGAAAGTGGCAGTTGAGGTAAAAGGGAAATTTTAGCACAAAATGACAGAAAGTAGGTCGGGTCAATTTGCATGACAAGGGTAGGCATACAGAATATGGAGTGAATATTTTGATACAGGCATCAAGGATAACAATGTCATTTATAGTTATTATTCGGTGCTACAATGTCATTTATAGTTATTATTCGGTGCTATGCTTTTGGAAGACAGTTTGTTGCATCAAACTTGATTGTTTAATTGCGTGATGCATATGTATATCAGCCATGCTGATAATTTGTTTTATCTGTTCTATCTTTTATTAAAGGTTGAACCACTCATTGGTATCATCGCAAGGGCATTGTTGTCGAGTCGTCATTGCAGTTGGGCTTAGTAATACTCATAACGTCACCGTTCCTACATCAGTTCAACAACAGCTTCCAGGTCCACATCAGACTACAGACAGGCTGTTACAATGAGTACTGTTGGACAAAAGAATGCCAAAGGAGACCCTGAGGGTGGAGTCCGTCCTGAAGATTCGGCCAGCCAGTGTGGGAGTACTACATCTTCAGTGCGACTGCGGACTATGGCACGTAGAGCTGCTTTAGCTGTTGAGGCTGAAGCACTGAAACAGAAGATGGCGCTGGAAAAGGAGGAGTTAGCTTTGAGACAGCGTAAAGCTCAGCTAGATATGGATACCAGGATGAAAATATCTGATGCTGAAACACAAGTCTATTTGAATGAAGCGGATAGGCTATTGTCGGATGAAGCTAGTGCTCCTCAGAAACATCCAGTTGAAGTGAATGAAACGTTGGCTTATCCGCTGGACTCTGGAACGCCAACGCCAACCCAGGTTGAACAGAGTACGAAGCCAACAGAGGCTTTGTTGCTGCAGATTTTGCAGGAGGGACAGAAACAACAGAGGCAATTATTGGAGTCTCTTAATGTGCCTCAAACACAAATGATGACGTATGATGGTAACCCTCTTAAGTTTTGGGAGTTTTGGAGGGCGTTTGAGAACTCAATAGACTGTACAAGTATTCCGGACAGTGCCAAACTGACCCGTCTTCTATACTACTGCGAAGGAGATGCCCGCAAAATCTTGCAGCCTTGTAGTATTATGCCATCTGGCGAAGGGTATATGAGGGCGAAGGCCATGCTACAAGAGAGATTTGGTACACCCTTCATGATAGCTGATGCATGGATCAGGAAAGTGACAGGAGGGCGGAAGATCACCGGACGGGACAAGAGGGCCCTAAGAGAATTCGCAGATGAACTGCAAGTTTGCTCACTGACTTTAGATGCCATGGGTTACATTGGCGATTTGTCACCACAGTTAGTCCTTGTCCAGATAGTTGAACGACTACCACTATACTTATGCGGGAGATGGCTGAGTGTGGTACGAAGAATCAGGCGAGAGGATAGACTTCCTAACATATTTGACCTGGTGGATTTTGTCCAAGGTGCAGCCGATGAGGAGAATGATCCGGTCTACGGAAGGCTTCTTACCAAGGATCAGGGCGGTAGAGGCACCTCCCAGAACAAGAAGTCGACAGGACTGAAGAAGGGTGCTTTCTCCACGACAGCCACAGGCAATGATGTGACACCACAGCTGTGTGTGATATGCAAGGAATCGCACAGTCTGTTTGGCTGTGACAAGTTCAAACGAATGCAGCTAGATGACCGGCTGAAACTGGTGAGGGAAAACAGGCTTTGTTTTAACTGTTTGGAGAAGGGACACATGTCGAGATACTGTAAACTAAAGAGGGTATGTTCAGTGTACGGATGCAACAGGAAACATACTAAGTTTCTCCATCAGCAGAAACCAGAACAACCTCAGCAAGCACAAGAGGAAGCTGTTAGTCCTTCACCTGAGAAGATTGAGAGTCATGTCACAGGGGCCGGGAACATGAAGGTGCTATTGCCAATCGTTCCTGTCTGGGTTTATGCGGCAGGCAGTAATATTGGTGTAGAGACTCTAGCACTGTTGGATTCAGGCTCGACAAGTACCTTTTGTACTAAGAAGTTGGCAGCAAGAGTGAAGGCAAGTGGATTGTCCAGTATAGTGTCTGTCTCAACTCTGGAAAGAGCCAACAGCGAACTTCAGACCAGTGTTGTAAGCCTGAAAGTTGCAGCAAAGTCATCATCCAGGATGGTGAATCTCCCTAAAGTCTATACCAAGACTGACATTAACATTAATCCAGATCACATGCTAAAGAAGGAGGATGTTGACAAACTCCAACATCTCACAGATGTCGACTTTCCATCGACTACCAAACTGCAGGTGGATCTGCTGATTGGGCAAGATTATCCAGAGCTTATTTGTCCCCTCGAGATACGACGTGGTGAGCCAAGAGACCCTTATGCAGTAAGGACAGTGCTGGGGTGGACCCTGAATGGGCCGGTTCAGAGTGATGGTAGGAGGATGGCTGTGACGTCACACTATATCTCAGATGAAATATCCCTTGAAGACCAATGTAAGCTGTTTTGGTCTCTAGAAGGCATTGAAACCCTCCATTGTGATGCTAAAGGAATGTCAGTCAAGGACCGAGAGGTATTGAAGCTATGGGAGGACAATGTGGTAATGAATGGAGGTCACTATCAACTGCCCATACCATTCAAAGAACGACCCCCGCCACTTTGTGACAATAGATGGATGGCCCAGCAGAGACTCCATTCACTTAGAAGACGACTTCTCAGGGGTACGGCAATGCATGCTAAGTATACACAGGGCATGGCTGACCTAGTTGCCAAGGGCTACGCCGAGGAAGTTGATGAAACTCAACCGCCAAATGGAACTTGTTGGTACCTACCACATCACCCAGTGATAAATCCGAAGAAGCCAGACAAACTTCGGATTGTGTTTGATTGTGCTGCCAAGTGCTTAGGAGTTGGTCTGAACGATGTGGTGATGCAAGGGCCGGATCTGACCAACAAGTTGACTGGTGTACTTCTTCGATTTCGTCGAGCACCAATTGCCATCATGGCTGATGTGGAAGCCATGTTCCACCAGGTAACAGTCCATCCAGATGAACGAGATGTACTTCGCTTCTTGTGGTGGCCTGATGGAAGAGTGGATGAAGATCCTAAGACCTACAGGATGTGTGTGCACCTGTTTGGGGGCACATGGAGCCCCAGCTGTTGCTCGTTTGCCATGCGGCAAACAGCAAAGGACTATGGAGATCAGTGCAATACACAAGCACCAAGAGTAGTAGAGATGAATTTCTACGTAGACGACTGCCTGGTCTCTGTTGAAGAGGAAGATGAAGCTATAAGACTGGCAGCAGAATTGAGAACCTTGTTGCAGAAGGGTGGATTTCGACTCGCTAAGTGGATGAGTAGCAACACAAGAGTTCTGCAAACCATACCAGTACAAGATCGGGCCAAGCAAGTGGTTGGACTCGACCTGAACTTTGATGCCCTACCAATAGAGCGTGCACTTGGTATGATATGGGATGTAGAAAGAGATAGCTTTGTCTACAAGATACAGGTGAAGGACAAGCCTTTAACACGAAGAGGACTCTTAAGTGTTGTTTCTTCTGTCTACGACCCTTTGGGATATGCTAGCCCATTTGCACTGAGAGGGAAGTTGATTCTTCAGGAGTTGACCCGGAAGAAGCTGAACTGGGATGAGCCTATCCCTGACAGTGATGCAAAGAAATGGAAGGCTTGGATTGAGGAACTTCCACAGATGGAAGGAGTTGAAGTCAGTAGATGTGTCAAGCCTCACGACTTTGGCAGGGTAACTGATTACGAGATCCACAACTTCTCTGATGCATCTGAAGTAGCCTACGGGGCTGTATCATATCTAGTGATGAGGAATGAGGAAGGAGAGGTGCATAGCAGTATCATCATGGCCAAGTCACGCCTTGCTCCAGTAAAGACCGTTACCATACCTCGACTAGAATTGATGGCAGCTACACTTGCTGTGAATATGGATGTCGTGATAAGAGGAGAGCTAGACCTGCCTGTGAAGAAATCATACTTTTGGACTGACAGTATGATAGTGTTGCACTACATAAAGAATGAACATAGAAGGTTCCGTGTCTTTGTGTCAAACAGGGTGGCTATGATACACAATGCCACAGAGATAGACCAATGGAGACATGTTGGCACAACGGAGAATCCGGCGGACATCGTATCCAGAGGCATGTCACCGTCTAATCTGAAAGATGAGGAGAAGTGGTTTGTGGGACCAGCCTTTCTACAACAGCCGGAGGAGAGATGGCCCACATGTCCCATAGAGAAGGATGGGATCAGAGAGGACGATCCAGAGGTGAAGCCTGTAGTCCAGATCTTTGCTACAAGTGAGGGCAAGAAGTGCATCGACCAGCTCTTCATGCACTATTCTTCCTGGACGAGACTACGCAGAGCGGTAGCTTGGTGGCTGAGGTTAAAGGAAACCCTTAGAAGGAATGTAAAGAATTGTACTCCAGTTAAAGAATTGAGCAGACACTTGACAGTGGAGGACTTGAACTATGCTGAAAATGCCATCTTTCAGCATATTCAGACCGAGTCATTCGATGAGGAGATGACAACCTTAAGGGAGAGAGTTAGAGATCCACAGGGACGAGAGAGACCTGTGAAGAAGGGGTCGAGGCTTGCAAGGTTGGATCCTGTTTTGCAAGATGGTCTACTGAGGGTAGGAGGCAGGCTTGGACGAGCACATATCCCAGACACTGCAAATCATCAGGTGATACTGCCTAGAAGGCATCATGTGTCAGCACTGTTGGTATGGCACATACACGAGAAGGTTGGACATCAAGGCCAAAATCATGTTTTGGCAGAACTCAAGCAGTACTACTGGATTCTGGGAGCTGGGGTCCTGGTGAGAGGCTTGTTAAGCAAGTGTGTAACTTGTCGTCGCTACCAGGCCAAGGTCGGCAAGCAGAAGATGGCTGATCTACCTGCCTTCCGGGTAGTAGCTGATGAGCCAGCATTTACACATGTGGGGATGGACTACTTCGGTCCTTATGAGATCAAGTGTGGGCGCTCTGTAAGAAAGAGATACGGCGTGATATTCACATGCATGACAACTAGAGCCATCCACATCGAGGTTGCCAACTCTCTAGACACCAGCTCATGCATTGATGCCATCAGACGCATGATAAGCAGGAGAGGACCAATAAAGAGGTTGGTCTCGGACAATGGCACCAATTTGGTAGGCGCTAAAGCTGAGCTGAGGAAGGCACTGAGTGCTTGGAACGTTGATGAAATCTCAAACTTCACGGCTAATCACAGTATAGATTGGAGTTTCAACCCACCAGGGGCCTCACATCATGGCGGTGTGTGGGAGAGACAGATAAGAACGATCAGGAAAGTACTGCATGCTCTTCTCAACGAGCAGTATTTAAGGACATGTCAGTCGGAGGAGCAGCTTCACACTCTGATGTGCGAGGTAGAGGCAATCATCAACAGCAGGCCTCTTACTCGTGTCTCTGATGATCCTGGAGATCTGGAAGTCATCACGCCCAGCAGTCTGCTACACATGAAGCAGACCTCAGCACCACCTCCGAGTAAGTCCACTGAGGGAGATGTCTTCGCCAGGAGACGTTGGAGGCAGATGCAGTACCTGGCTGATCTCTTTTGGAAGAGGTGGATTAGGGAGTATCTACCTAGTCTACAGCAACGTCAGCGGTGGCAGCAGCCTGAACGCAATCTTCAGGTTGGTGACGTGGTTCTCATCGCAGACGGAACTGTGCCGAGGTGTTGCTGGCTGATGGGACGCGTTTTAGAAGTGTACCCTGGTAAGCGGGGATATGTACGTAGCGTGAAGGTTAAGACTGCAACGTCGACACTCGTCAGACCCATCGCGAAGCTTTGTTTACTTCTTGAACAAGAGGAATCGCGATAGACGACTTCGAGAAGTTAGCCATTTTATTTGTTGTTTTTAGAGCTGATACAAAATAATTCCAGTTCAATTCAAGATAGGGATTACTTTAGGTAGCGTTGAGCAAGAAACATTCAACTTCTGTGGACACAGCATCTAGTTTAGGGAGCATTGAGCATGAAACATTCAACTTCTGTGGACACAGCATCTAGTTTCGCATAAATGGATTCGGTTTAGATTCGCTTCAACAAGAAGAGACTTTACTACAGTGATATTATACAGATACTTTGTGTTTCGTAGTGACTTGCTGAAATGTTTAATTGAATTGAAGCATAACTCATTTCTAGTTAGAATTCAGTTTCTAAAGATAGTATTCTGATGGTAATACAATAGTTTGTAATCAGAAGATAAGGAAAGAAATACAGGTAGTATGTCCTTATTGTCATATTATTAGTGTTCTGCTATTCGGTAAGGACATATGTTTCCATAGCAACCACCTTTTTTTGGATTTAAAGGGACTGTATTTATCGAAGTCTTGAAATTTCAAGAGAGTGACAGTTTTGTTATAGATGTTGGCAGTGAAAGGTTTGGTAAATTCAAAGTATTCGGTTAATTTAAGGGGCCGGGATGTTGATACGAGTTTTTCCCAATTTGACATTGTGACGTCAGAAGCGGGGTTTTTAGGTGGATTCTGCATTCAGGTCGTAGAGGGCGGGATTTGATTCTGTGGAGCTACTGATTTACGTTACACTGAATGTTTATTACACTGAAAAGTCTACTGTTAATTTTGTTTTCCTGAGACAGCCCAATGTTGTAAGTAGAAAATCACTGCATATTATGATAGCTCAATATTTACTCTTTTGCCTGATGTTAATGGTGATTATAATGGTGGATTGATGTGATGTATGAAATAAGATTAGAATCATAGAACATCCATACGTTTTGAATGTAAATGTACCACATATAAGTTTTGGTGTAAGTAGCGTATAAGATAATTCATGCTGGAAAAGTACGAAATATCCAAGTAAGGTTATGATATTATGAATGAGCAAGAAGCTCTATTAATGTATGACAGAATACGATTATGACTTAATTATGAACAGAAGATGATGGTCTAAATTTAGTTAGCTAGGGAAAGTGGCAGTTGAGGTAAAAGGGAAATTTTAGCACAAAATGACAGAAAGTAGGTCGGGTCAATTTGCATGACAAGGGTAGGCATACAGAATATGGAGTGAATATTTTGATACAGGCATCAAGGATAACAATGTCATTTATAGTTATTATTCGGTGCTACAATGTCATTTATAGTTATTATTCGGTGCTATGCTTTTGGAAGACAGTTTGTTGCATCAAACTTGATTGTTTAATTGCGTGATGCATATGTATATCAGCCATGCTGATAATTTGTTTTATCTGTTCTATCTTTTATTAAAGGTTGAACCACTCATTGGTATCATCGCAAGGGCATTGTTGTCGAGTCGTCATTGCAGTTGGGCTTAGTAATACTCATAACGTCACCGTTCCTACAATCTCGATCAGGCCATTTGGTGTAGTGGAACTGATTGAGAAATCTCTGAGTCTTTGCTTTGCCCTAGACAAAAAAAGATGTGCCAAACACATACCAAACATATCCATCTATAAACCTTTTTAGACTTGTATGCCTGCAACAATGTTTTCAGTGGGTTTTCAGTATTTAACTCGTGTATAAATTATTTCTGATTTTTTATGAAATTTATGATTTATTATCACAAAGTTATTGTGACTGATTCTCCATCCTCTATCATATATCTACATAGCGGTTTCGCTTAATTGAAATTATTGATTGTATTGCTTTTGCCCGACATCATTAAGCCAATAACTTCTATAATGAACCATGGTCATCATTAAATTAAACGACTATAGTACCTTTCGCAGGACAAATGATCGCTTTGATCCGCCACTGCACTTCTCCACAGATTCCAACTCCACGGTAATGTCACCGAACAGAAGAGGAGTTGCGCTCGTTTCCGGCCAGTACTGACGACACTTGATCTAATGCGTCGAAGGAAAATGGAAATTGAATATTACTAACATTTGGATATCTATCTTTGAGACTTCCATCCTCAAAAAAGTTACCCAAACCCTGGAGAACCATGTTTAAGATGTTAAGAGCCTGGCCACCATCACTGAGTAGCAAACGCCATGTATGGAATAGCTCAAACAAAAGGGTAGTAGCGGAAGAGGGCACTTGCCGCTACACAGGGAACAAGGGGATTTCCTAATCATACTATATTCTTGAAATAAAAGGGAAAAATAGCAGCACTTTTAGGATAACCCCATCACGAAAGTTGACCAGGAATCCGTTAGTTTACCAACTCTTCAACAATGTGATTGTGATTGGTTGATGGTATAACTTGAATGCTTAGAAGTACATTCTATGTGTATACTTGTAAATAAGCAGCCGGCAGATGGCTTTTAGTTCTCTTTGAGGTACTTGGCAATGAGGATTATTGCCTTACCAAAGGGCACTAACACATCGACTTGGTTTTGAACCCATGATCTCACAGTTACGAGACAACAGCAAACGTTTCTTGGCTAATCATAATCTTACCCCATAACCTACATAACCCTAATCCTCTACGTTTGTCGTCCACGTACATAAATCCAGTTGTTGGCGGGGATATTCTATCATTAAATCCCACCACATTTTTTGTTTAATGACTAATGTCTGTGAACGTGATAAATCTGACATTTCCACGAATAATAGTAAGCTTCTACATGTATAAATGTGAAAGGTTGGTGCTATTTTATTTACTTCATGCTAAACTTTTTGTTTCTGTATAATAATTTGTATAACCCACTTATTCAAGTGGAATATAATTTATGTCTAATGGAATCGAATAAAGATCATGGTGAAAAAACATGTTGTAATAATACGTACCTTGTTTCCTTCGCTAAGGTTTGTAACCATGGCAATAGTCGCCACATTCTCCTGCCAGATCATCCTCCAGAAATCATCCATAGAGGCCTTGTTCGGTCCTTGCAAATCATGAAAAGTAAGTCATTCCAAAACTTTCTTATATCAAATACGACTAAGAAGCAAAACAAAGCATAACTATACACGGAAAACCTGAGGTACGTAAGACAGAATCGAAGGTGAAATATGAGGAATCTAATAAAAGCAGAGTTTTTGTTTGTATAGATTCCTTCAAATTTCGATCAGCCTTAAAAATAAACATTTATAACATTAACATAACAAACGGAGCATCAAGCAAATTATTTGGCAACATACTGTAGGTCACGATTAGGATGGCTTTGTCTACACATTTCGTTTAATTATCTGTTTTGGGGATGTCTTGTCTTTTTTGGTTGTACTCGAGTTCTATTTTGGAAGAATTTTGATATGGGGATAGTTTCAAACAATACATTTCTTTATGTCTGCCTTTCCTCTAAACTGTTTACATGACAACTGGGTGTGTTTTTGTTGGTATAAGCCTATATCCTGTATTCTTCATGTGAGAAATATTCGAACTTGAACTTTTCGTTTCAACATTTTAATTTGTAACTAAAAATTCGGATTACAAAGATGATACACAACTAAATGCGGGAATTTCGATCCCAAAATGTGTGCTAAATGTTTCCAGCGAAGTCGCACGTAAACTCAACTTCTAAAACCTAATCACTAATAGCTAATTTGAATTTGGGATCAAGAAATATAGGTGTCTCATCAAATAATATTCATCAGGAAAAAGTAACAGTGTCATCTTGGAATTATACATCGGCAATTGCATCAAAATAATGATGATTTCATTACCTTGTGATGCAATGTACCTCCGAGGATGTTGGAAGCTCTGCCGGAGAAAGGAGAATGTGGTGACAATAGACGTACAAACAAAGTAAGTATTGTAACGAAATACATTATTCCATAACTTTATATTTATATACTATATAGAAAATGAATATCCATCATAGCAAACATTTTGATTAATACCATACAAACATGTTTGGTATGTTTTGTGTCATCAGTTCTGCTTATATTTCAATTACAAAGAAAATGAAGAGCAGACTTTGTTTCTTTTATAAAGGTAATGTTAAGAGTCGGTCGTGCACCTACTGTAAAGTAATTCAAAGTAGAATAAATGCAGATTCTATTTTTGAATGGTTAAGTATGAGATGGAAATTAATATGTGTAATCATTTTGCTGATAATCAATACTAAAAAGCATTGTACACGGTTGTGGTAACGTGTGACTCAGTACGACAATCGATTAGTTTGGACGAGAAAGCTAACAGTCAGGCCAATTTCTTTACATTTACCGGCGCTCTGACGTACAGATGTGCGTGCGAAAATTATTATTGAATTTTATGATAAATTTATCATTTAAACATATGTTGTTCGTCCTTCTCAAAAGAGAAGATGACAATTTTCATGACTTGCTCTATCAGACATGTGCGTTTGGAGGTGATTATAGAGGAAAATCCGAGCTGGGCGAGCCTAAGTATGATTGCACAGTGAGGGCAAGACCAATGTGCCAAAAGGGTTTTGGGCTGAGAGTTGTTGCTTGTACTGTACGCTTACAGGAATGAAAGATGCGTTGAAGTAATCCGAATCTGGGTCATCATTGAGTATCGCCAGTTGTACCCTCGATGAGTCATCTAGATATAAGATGGACATATTAACTCATAATCAGACTGTATATGGTTACGGCGTTCTACAACTGAAATAATTATAATCATAGTAATAATAATTTCGGATAATTTTAAAGCGCACACATCCACCACGCAACGTGCTCAAGGTGCACGAACATTACCTCGACTCTGAAAGGGTACCGATTTCGGTGCTCACAGCAATCAGGGAATTCCTTCCTACCGGTACCCATTTTAATATCTGGGTGGAGAGAGGAAAATGTACGTTGACGTCTTACATTATGGATTCAAATTATGTGATTCATAGTCCCACGACGTTTTCACTAGATCACGACGCAAAAAGGCCTGTATGGTCCACACCATTCTGCGACATTCTATTTGTCTAGTTAGTCTATATGATTAGTTATTTTGGAAGGCTTTATGTTTTGAATTGATTCAGTTCGAAGCTTTTGTACAAAGCAGTTATTTTACCCCACTTTGATTATGCTGATGTAGTATGGTCTACCTCGAAAAAAGACACGGTTGAATAGGTTACAGAAATTGCAGAATCGTGCTGGAAGAATAATATTGAAAATAAATGTTTAGAACATAGGTCTGTGCATACAATTCATGACGTTCAGGACTGACTGGGAGACTCTACGCAATCGCCAAATAAATCACATTTATTTCTTGATGTAAAAAATTATGCATAAGGCTCCACTCTTTTTTTTTCAATGAATAGAATACTGCTTGAGAAATGGCAACAAGATGACCTTATCTAGGCCGAATACAGAATACTGCAAACGTACTCTTGTATAGGCCTATCGTGGTAGTAAACTGTACAATTACTTACCTCGTAATGTTTGAAAATTAGATAACTTTGGATTGTTTGAGAAAGAAGTAAAAAATTACCCCTATAAAATATTGAATAATTTATGTAGCCTAGAAATTTAACTGTAATCTTTAAGTTCATTTTATTTCCCGAAAAATATACCCTTCAATAAAATCGAAATTAAATTAAGCTAGGTTCCATGGTTCCATGGATGTGTTTTATTATCAATATTATTATTATCAATAATTAATCAATTTATTGTCGTTAATTTGGGATCCCGAGGAAGAACAGATTATCTTTGACAGTTGATCTGAAGCGGGTGATCCCTTAATGTTCGTTTTTTTTGCCTTATATAATAGTTCTGTAATATATTTGAGTGTTTTATTTCTTTATGTGTTATGTTTGTATTTCATATTTCATTATCGTAAATGACGACTGGTAACAACTGTTTAAGATATAAAATCATTGTTCTGTGGACTAAGACAAATTTTCAGATCTTACACTAAAACCAATCTTATCGATCAATAACATGGAACTCTTTTTGCTGATATTACTTACTAGTTAGGCCTACTTACATGGCAGGATGTTCTTGTATCTGTTCTTCTCAAAGTTTATTTGTTTCTTGGCAACGGTTTGCGGATAGATATTTGCTTCCGGCAAGTCCTTTGTTAAAATAAAAATTCAATTGAAATTAATAATTAGTTAACAAAGTAAGCTATTAAGTTCATGTTATGAATATGAGAGTGAAAGGACATTTTCAAGAGTCAACGTTGAATATATTATTTGTTCAGTGGGTCCCGCAATCCTGCTTCGTGGGGGCATTAGATTTTCCAGGTACATAGAATGCAGGACAACGCGGCCGCCAAAAGGAGAATGGTCGGGGTTCTTTTTTCCCTTTTTCTCCATCCCTTCATTTTTTAGTCAAACAAGAGCAACTGGGGGGGGGGGGCACACGTGCCTCCTTTCCGATCCATTTAGCTACGCAAAATAATCCATTAAGATTAAGAGTCTTTCATAGTTTCCGTTTCAAATCACTTACATTGAATTCCTCTTGAAAGAAAGTGGAATGCCTGTTCTTCTGAACGAAAGCAGGGAAGTCAGACAATGGTATCGGCTGGCGCTCCATAGGACCACTCTCTGGAGAACTAACGGATAGTACCCCGGCATCCTCGCGATCCATCGCCTGTGGTGATACTGTTGCAAGTGTCAAGCGTTTGGGAGTAATAGGGGGTCTCTCTAGGGTTCGTGAACTTTTCTTCTGAACGGAAGCAGGGAAGTCAGTCAATGGTATCGAGTTAAGCTCCTTTGGACCACTCTCTGTAGAACTGACGGATGGTACCCCGGCATCCTCGCGATCCATCGCCTCTGATGATGCTGCTGCATGTGTCCAACGTTTCGGAGAAACAGCGGGTCTCCCTGGGGGTCGTGAGGAGATCGACGGCGATGGGCCAGATCGTCCCAGTTCTTCATCTGTCTCTGCGCACATCGAAGTCGGGAACAAGAAGAGAAAGAGAAGGAAATGGCCAGGAAAAGAATAGGAAAAGGGTTACTCTTTACATGAAATAATCGAGATTTATCTCTAGGATTTTGCTCAATTTGCTAATTGGCATAATAATAGGCAAAGCATTTCACATTGCATTCAACTGGCGCGTTTCCCAAATCTTAATTTCAACCAAGGTTATCTATCCAACAATGCCAGTTTAACGTAGCGGTAGAATTCTCCTCTGTAAACACAACCATAAATGTCTTTCGAATCGGCTAAATGGAAAATATCTAATGTAACGTACAATCAATTAGGTTATTTCTATGTCACCCGAGGGACGCACTGAACAATCTTTTAGGAAAATAGAAAGCGTTACTACTGTATGTACCATTATGACTATCATCTTCTTATACCTACCCAGTTCTTCATGGGGTGTATAGTCGTTATGTGCAGGCTGTAGAGGAGGTGAGCGTTTACCAACGCTGTCACGTCGGTTTCTGAAAACGAATGAAAACAGATCCCATATTATAATCTTTAAAGGGATTAGATATGATATTTTAGACGCAATTCAAATCTAGATTTATTGTTATTACAACTTATTCCATTTCGAAAATGTGGTACAAATTAACATGTTTGGTCAGAATATTGTTTATTCCCACTAACTGTAATGGAACCATGACAGCAGGAGCATTATAGTTAAGAAACAAATTTTTAAGTGATCGATGTTAAAATAGAATTTTGAATCGCAATTTGACTATTTCTCATAAAAGGACTTTTTGAATTCTTCTATTTGAATAAGTCTCCAAGGTATATACTTTTTTTATCAGATATTTCCTCTTAGAATACAAGTTGATTTTGCCGTGTCTATTTTAAAGTGACAAATGCGACCTTTGTCTATTAAAGCACTTTGTAAAATCGAATTCGACCTCTTTATCTCTCCGAAGTCTATAAGAATATTGTCTATTATATATATATATATATATATATATATATATATATATATTTATAATAATTTGTTTATTTAAAGATTATTTTTACTTGCAATAATTGGTTCAATATTTCAAGTAACTGTTTAAGGTTGTTCATCCATCTATTATCATTTATTTATATATGTATATAACTTTAGGTATGAACAATAATGTTAACTTTATATTTTATCATTTTTATTGTACATTATTTTGTATGATCATTCCTGTTTTTATGCACATTTTATTTTAAACATTGTATTATTAGTCCCTGGACTACTGCATTGTACATGTTGATATTAATAAACCGTTAATAAACCGAAATTGAATTGAATTGAATTGAATAAAGTTTGTCAGTAGAGTTCTAGCTATCAATATTCATCGGAAACGGTATTCCTCAGAGAGTAAAATAATGTATATTTATATAGAAATAAACATGTATATATATATATATGTAATGCAGGAACATGCCAGCCTACCCCTTCCCCCATACCTTTTTCTCCGTAACAACAGGACGATGATAACAATAAGACACAAAATGATTAACAATCCTCCAGCGGCGCCGCCAGCGATATGATCTATGGCCGCTATGGTCACTGTTAATTATTAAAACAAATACATTAAAACAATAGCTCTCTCAGTTGAGACTATCTCGTTAAACATGAGTATTATAGAAATTAATTTTTTTTTTTAACGAGACAAATGATCAGCAACGAGAAGATAAGTTTAACATACTGTTATGGCGTATGTAAACATCATATAAAACAAGGAAGGTGGGTATTCCAGGAGTTATGGATCCAAAAGAATATTTTAGATAATATTTAGGAAAATGCTTGAAATTTTGTTGCCCAATGCCATCCATACTAATTTTTAATTTTCCGATTTTTGTATGCAAAAGCTGAATCGTTATGTAAATACATTTTTTAAGTTATTTATCAGGCACGCATTTATTTGAAGAGGATTTTTGGTGTAAATCCTGTTTGGAGGTCTGTGACTTAACAAAATAAAGCAATACTCCTAATCAACCAATCTCCCGTTTGATATATTTTCAAATGCTACAATGAGACTGCAAATCCCACTTTTTGAAAGTAAGTACATTTCATATCCACATTACTCAGTTACTTGAATTAAATCATTATATTATATCGACCGACAAAACGAATGATTATTCTGTGGAAAAGCTGTTAGATACAAAAAGTAAATAAAACTGAAGAACTCACATAACTCCTGGGTCTTCACACTGAAAGGGGCTCCTCGATCTCCTTCTCCTTTCGGACCTTCCCGAATCACCGCGATTTGAATCTCGTAGTTTGTCCCTTCTTCGAGACCAGTGATGTTGTACTCCAACAAGTCTAATCCTTCACTAGTCACTTCCCTCCTACCTCTTGAAGACCCAGTATTCAAAGATCCATCTGATAGCAAGGTAGCGCTGTGTGTCTCGTTCCCATCTTTAGTATGAACGTAGACTATGTAGCCAGTAATGGGACCATCACCTGCATCGATGGAACGGTTCCAGGGTCTCCAAGAGATGACGACCCAGTAATGACTGGATGCAACTAACGTAGGTAGTAAAGTTAAGATTGGCAGCTCTGTTTTTTAGGGGAAAAGAGAACACTGGTCAAGAGTGAAACCTTCATCGATATTTTAATAATTTGGTTTCCATCAAAAAGCAAAAACAACTATGGTTTCATTTGCTGTTCGGAATCAGTTATGAATGTGAAGACCTTTGATCATGTGGATTTGGGCTTATTGCATAATTCAGCAACCCTTCTCGATAAATCATACATGTTTTTAGTATGAATGTAGTGATGCGTTTATTTCCCTTTATTAACTCAACACAGTATATTTATGACAAAAATGAACATCACACAGTGCCTGGCGATTTCATTAATATTAACTACATGTACATGTATATTATTCAAAAAGCATTGTAAAACATACGGACCATAAAGAGCAGCAGATGCCAACTTCACATAGCCGAACTCGGACGAATTATTGAAAGGGTCCCCGATGAAACAATAAATAGAACTGTCATCCGGAAAATCTTGGATGTTGAACGTGAAATTGAGTATTGTTGAAGAGATGTTTTGTGGAGGATCTTTGGCCGTTTCCCAGTTGTCCCTTGAGAAATCCCCTGTGGTAGCTTTCACAAAGTCAGGTTCAACGTTAGTTGGTGAATCGAACGAGATTGCACAGGAAAACATGGCAATACCAGGGTTTGTCTTCTCACGTGCAGATTGAAAGCGACCTAACCGTAAAGGAGACATATAGGGAAATAATCAGTTAACTTATCAAATCTTCTTGCTACAGTTTATATTCGTGATGATTTTCAGACTATAATAAGAATGAATCAATCGATGGAATCCAAAGAAGAGCTATCATGTCATGTTTCTCACAACTAACCGTAGCTAGTACAGAGTTACTTAGATAGGCTTGTATGTAAGCGACCAAGGTAGAGGTTGCATTTTTCACTCAAGAAACGCCTGGCTGGAATGTTCCCCAGGGAGTGGAGATTGTGCACACAGTATGTTTGGGCAAGTATTGAATCAAATGACCGGGGTAATAGTATATCTGTAAAGCGCTTAGAGACATCATAGCGGAATTATTATTCTAAATAATACCACTATGAATTGTAACATTTCTTTGCCAATTTACAGGGTATTTTCTTTACCATTGTTTAGAAGCAAGGATTACACAATTATATGAATATGGGAATGAATACAAATTCATGAGAGGCAAGGCACATGGTGAGTCTACAGTAAAGAAACAGCGTGGCAACAAAAACAATAATAGTAATGATAATGATAATTATGAAAATAATGATAATAATAATGATAATTTGATTTCTATAGCGTCTTTTCCAGAGGATACAACACCTAATGTGAACACAACAGTGTGTAAACTATGTGAAAGCATGTGTAAACTAATTAGCAACTCTCTATCGGAGGAAATGAAAAACACGAATAAAGCAGTAATGATGTATACCTATTTGGCAGCTTTCCCCTGTCCATCGTGGATGACATCTACCTGAGCTACAAGAACCAGTCACCGAGTTACAATCATCTTCCCCATCTCGACAGTGACATGTGCGGGAACACAGGTTGTAACATCCAGTAACTTAAAACAAGAGGGGAAAGATTCTGCATATAACGATTTCTAAATGACTTGTATTTTACCACTGTAAATATTTCTATCACGGTAGACGGACGGCAGAAAATGATATAAACAATTATGGATAAAACCAAAGCAATATTTAAAAATTAGTTAAATGCAGAAATGGAGTCTCACATGAGTTGCAGCTTTCTGGCATGTCCACTGAGTCTGATGTGAATCCTACTTCACATTGACCTTCTGTTGTAATACAGAATCCAGAGACCTTGTCACAACCAACATTATCTGGACAGTTGCAATGGTCAGTGCAGTTGATACCAAAATAACCCACTGGGCAAACGGATGGCACTGTGAAAAAAGCAATACAATACATTTGTTTTCGTATTTTAAATACGAAAACAAATATATATAATGGTTTATTTTTTGAATAAATAAACCATTATATATATTTGTTTTCGTATTTAAAAGCTTTATGCAAATATTTTCAAAGATTCCTTTATCAAATAATAGGTATATTCATTTGTCACTATAAGATTACATTTATAATGGTCTCGATTTATTGTTTATAACTATCTGGTCTCTTTATTGCAATGGTGACATGGAATATCTCTCAAACTTCCAAGTCCATAGTAAAAACACTTTCTTTCTATCTTTCTTTCAACCCTTTCTCCTTTTTCTTCTCCTTTTTTTTCTTCTTCTCATGTTCCTTCTTTTACAATTCCGCGTCTGTAATAACTAATGAAAGGTCCATAACACTGTCTGACCCATGTGGATATATATATATATATATATATATGGCAGCAGTGGGATACTATCGTGGATACAACATTTTTGCATATTTGAACTTTGAAGTTTCCTTGAAGACTTTGCAATTCATGGCGAGGGCCTAGGTGGAGTAACGCATTGCGACGATACATTATTCATCCCTAATTTGAAGGCTCCTAGCATTCGGTCAATAATGGAAAGAGCAGATCACCGACATACGATTTGTTTTCTTCTCTTTTCTTCTTCTTTTTGTTTGGCTTCTAGCGGTGTATCCTCTAATTATTTTGTATCTTTAAGAATGCATTTTTACATTTTTTACATAGGCGACATTACATCATCAGTTCATTTATCACATTTTAGATTGATATTTGAAATAGATAGCTTTGAATTGATTTATACTGAACCCCTCCCCTGTCTCTAGATTTGCCCAATATGATACTTTACCTTGACAGCCTTCTCCTGACCACCCTGGCTCACAGCCTTCTTCACATCTTCCAGTAAACACATCACACGGCATTCCATTTATACAGTGACAATCCTGGAGACAGTCAGAGCCAAACTCCCCATCGCGGCAGGCTAAAAATATAGAATAAAGTCAAATCTAGGTATTAACAAATCTTTGAAACTCGCGATATTTATACAAAATTGAAATTGAATAAAGAATCAGAACATAGACCTATTTCATTTAAGCGATTTGGCCACAAAAAAAATACTCGCACGTTGTATCAAATTTGCAAAGGTAACGGTGGACCCTGAAAGGAGGACATATTTTTAAGTATGATCTCTATTTTCTATTAAATGTCTACACATAATATTCGATTGAGCAATACCCAGGCGTTAGATATTGTGTCGGGCTAGATACATAATAACAAAGGGATTGCTTGTATTAGTCCGTTGACTACTGAATTATCTCATTCCCATAGACTTAACACAGGGACCACCAGGTTCCAGTAGACAATGGGTTAAGGTAACTATTGGAAAAACACGCTCCCATAACAAAAGGAAGAAATATTCAGCATAAGTTGAAAACAAACGAGAGAACGGGAAAAAGGCCTCCAAAATGGATGGGAAACCTATTAAATGAAATCGAAATATTATCAAAAGATTCTGAATGATTTTAAAATATCATTTTAATATACCTCATGAAATAAAATGTTTAAAGATTAGAATTGATCATGCCCCCTGGTAGCAATGCTACTGACTGTGATCATAGTGTTATTCAACAACCCATATAAAATATATCTCACTTTCATACTGGATTACTTTCAAAACAATTCACTGTGCTACCTTACTTTCATTACAGAATGCTCCTGCGTAGCCAGCTATGCACCTGCATTCACTTGGACCTGGAAGGCAAAACTTGTTATCGCTGCAAGAAGAATCATCAGCTATCGCAGAACCGCATACAAGTTCACACTCAGACCCGAACCTTTGGTCGCCACATGCTGTTATTGATAATTAATAATATATTATCTTTTGAAGCATATATACTCATGTGCATTAATATGCCATTTACATTGGATTGATATACATTTGATACTATTTTTTGCAATACAGTACATTAAATTGTATTGAGAAGGAACGATATTAAGTTACACACTTAAAGATAAAGTTGAATTCTGGTCATGCGATTGCATTGTGATAGAAACAGTGTGGAATGGATCTGAAAAAGTTGATTATGTAGCAAATAAGTATTTGGTGTGTACTGCAAGGTTCTCGAATCATCAAAATGATAAGAAATTTGGCCCAGTCTTGGTAAAAGTAACAAGCACTGTACACAGAAAGATGTATATGGGATTACACAAACATGTGGCATAATAATGAGGCCCACATTGTTAAGCTGTTACATGTCATATTAAAAATATGAAGGCATTTGGAGAACAATGCTCTCCAGGAAACATTTTTCTCTGGTGTTTTTCCACACTTGCATAATAACAATGAAAACGATCAAAATTTTGTGTTCACCTCTCCCCAGAACTCAACTTTTTCTTTAATCCATTATCAATGTTATTAATAACATAAATATGGTTAACTAAAATATCAACATAAAAGGGAGGGAGTGATTTGCTACTAAGAAAGATATAAAAAGGGAAGAACATTGGTTTCCTATCTACAATAGCTGAATAGTAACACTAATCGATATGATAACACACAGGTTTATACATTTATGATGCCAGATAGATGTAGATACAATGCGTTACATTAGCACGCTGAACAAGACTTAACAAGTAACATAACAAAGCGTAGACAATGATATTTCCTTGAAAATAACTTTCCGTAGAGTTTACATCGATAGTTTCGCCTTTTGGGAATGTTTTACACGCGAATTGTAGCCGGAGTTAAAAAGCCATAAACAAACGCAGAGAAACAATGACAATGATTATTGGTAAGGTGGTACATGCACTTATAATTAGGGGTATGCATCATACTCTCAAATTTGTATTTTTTTCGCTTTGAGTTTACCCTCTATCAGTGACCGTTTTTCTTAAAGAGGTGCCCTTTTTTGTTGGTGACCCCTTTAAAAGACGCTCCGCCGCCCCTGATTATATCAAAGTGAATCTATAATTATAACGACTTACCTGTAACACAGTTTTTACCAATAAACCCAGGAGGACATGTGCATGTTCCTGTCTGTGGGTTACACACTCCTCCGTTGTAACAGTTATCACACAGACGATCACAGATAGGCACATTCCATTTTCCTGGGGGGCACCCTTCATGAACAGAGAAATATTTTAAAGTCAAAATTTATTTGCAGATGAATGTTTTCAATTCATTCATTGGAGTTTTAACAAATCTGACGCTTTCAAAATTTTACAAAAGCTATAATATTATTTTCAGAAACTATACAACGTTCTGTCGATTAAAAAAATGAAAAATAAAAATGTATTTCTACTGCTATGGAGGTAAAACCTCTTTCCTAAACCATAATTGTGACATTGTTTGTCGTGACTCTACACACCAATCCCATTAAAAAGAATTTTGGTCTGGCATACAAAGATTTAAAGAACTTAACTCATGAAATCATTGCTCAAAATCTTCCTTTGACCCATGATGTATTAATCGGTTTTATAAGATTATGACGTGGATCTTAATCTAATGATTGGTTGAAAGCGTACACGTGACCAGGCATTTATTTTGACTTACGCGTAATTTGGATTATAACCGGTCATTAGTAAAATCATGTTTATAAAACATGATTTCATATAACAAATGAAACATAATCTTATAACACATATAATACACAACATTTTGTTCTGGCATTAGTAAAATAACCCACACTCGGTACCTTCAAAGCAGTCCAAACACCCTCGGCTACCGCATCGGACTGTTCCAAAAGGTACCTTGTGTGGGTAATTCTTACTAATGCCCTCACTGCTGTTTATTTTTTGTATACTAATCACTTCACTTTAATTCATTATCAATCTCATTTAATATACAAAATGTCTTTTTTCCCCCTGTTAATTAATGTAAAGGTTTACGTGATTTGTATTATAATAGCATACGAACCCTTTGATATCTCGCAGACAAATCTACGTACTCCATTGCAAAACTGATCATTCCAGCCGTCAATTAAGCGTGCTACACAGAACTGGTACCCTTGATAGTTATTCGGTTTGTCCGACTTCCACATGGTAAACCTTTAAACAAAGAAAGGAATTGTAGGTGTGTTTAATTATAGTGGGTCAATGAACATTGATTTCTTTTCATTTTTTAGGATGTATTTATAGAGTGAGAAAAATATCTTTACCAATCCACTGCCCCCTCTTTTATTCCTCTCTCTCTCTCTCTATCTCTCTCTATTTCCCTCTAACCAAGGAGTTTTAGGGGATGGAGTCATATCTAGCTCATTCCCTTTGTACCATCTTCGATATGTCAGGCATGTGCTTAAAGGTAATACAAAGTTTTGGGAAATTTTGAAAATTGGATGGATAGTGAATCTTTACAATTTTGATATATTTGGATGCCCCTGTGGATGTATTATAAGCAATAGGAAAATTAGCCCCTAAAACTCTTCTGCTTTTGAGAAAAATGGAATATAAAAATTTACCGGTGCTCCCGGTAAATTTTGATAAATTTCAAATAGCGCATATGGCCGTACAATGGTAGCTGCGACCATGAAAATTTCAGAATATGTAGTTGTGATATATAATTTCCAAACGGGAATAGCTAATCGGTCGATTTTAGTCAAGAAACATTGTTTCATAGCTAAATTAATATCTTGACCTTGAGAGGGAGCTATACAACATAAAGATTTTATTATTTATAATTTCATAACTTTAGACTCGATTCCAACCGCGACAACGATGAATTAATATTGTAGGAACGCATATGCTTGCAATATGTTAATTTGAACCAAATTCATGACCCCATACCAAAACTTTGTAATACCTTTAACTGGATCTTCCTTGCAGATATGTAGACAAACAGATTTCTGCCTAGCTGCAAACTAACGGGCTACTTTCAAAGGGAAATATGCTTTTGTAATGATAATTACTTTTCGCTACCACTCGTCTGATGATACGAGCAGTACACACTGCTTACCTTTACAGGAGGCAAGCGAAAGGAAATGGAGCACAATTTCATGAAATATTAATCAAAATTACTTGACTGGGCATGTGTGGGCACTAATCTGACATATAACATCATAAAGAACATTACTGTACATGAACAAATTCACGTCTTATTTTCGCGAGCCGGAAGTAATCGGAAAAGTGTCATATTGCAGGTTTAAGGACCGTAACATTTTACTATTTTTCACAAATTGAAGCTGCTATCACACAAATTTCTTGACACAATTAGGATTTTGTATTCATATTTTATCATCTGTTTGATTTTCCCCTTGTTATTTCAAATAAAACGTGTAATATTAAGGATATTTCTTTGTGAAAAAAAAATCACTACTCGAGCTTTTCAATGGTATTGGCGGCTTCGAATCTTGGACATCAAAGGTTACAGTACACCAGTAGATTCTATTCTGCAACCATAGAAAACCGCAGCTGCTTGGAATAATTTGTTCCCAGTTGGGTCTACATCTCTTAAAACTCCTTGCTGTAACTATCTCTTTCTCTCTCTCTCCCTCAATATATCTCACTCTCACTCACTCTCGTTCTGTATCTATTTCTCTCTCTCTCCCATCTACCTCTCTTTCTCCCCCCTTTTCTCATAATTCCTCTCTTCTTCTTTTTTTTATCTTCATCTCTCATAAATAAATAATAAGTTGGTTTCGACAAAAGCTAATTGAAAAGAACAAATTAGTGAAAAAGTATTAGATCAAAATCCGATTAAAAATAGGAAAGTTTTGAAGTTGTCATCGATGAAACAAAAATTGAACTCCTCACCAATATGCTCTGTATGGAAAATTTCATAGAATTTCATTTTCTTAGTTATTTATGACGTAAAAGATTTGTTTAGTATATGAGTTGTATACAACTAATAGTCATAAAAAGTCATATTTAGGGTGTATTCATGGTTTAAAATTGACTTAAGGGAAAATATAGATGATTAAAGTTTTTTTAAGGGCAAATGGGAGGGGAGCTCGCAAGACACGTCACGGAGTTAGTTATTTTTTGTTTTGTTTTCGAATCATAGCTTTCTTATTTGTAATCCTTTTTGCTCAGACCTGTTTCTCTCATATTTCTGCTTTTATTTAAATTAAACTTAATATTAGGTACGTTGGCGTGCCATTTAACATTAATTCATTTTTAATGTAAATACCTTGAGTATCGAAGAAAAGTTCCATCCGCCCAATGGAAGACACCTTCCTTGCCAAGTGAATCAAGCCCGAACCAGAACTCGACACTGCTGAAGCTGTTTGTGAGATTTAGCTGTTTATGGTGACAAAAGAAACATTGCTTCATAAGATTGGTCTGGTCATACCACGTGATACTCTTGCCAACTTTATAGTTCCTTAATTCTACAAAGGCGAGTGAAGCGAGTGACCATGGTGACCAAAGGAATAGGAAGAGGACAGTTTGGTATTGAAAAAAATATTTCCTTGAACAAAGTGCACTAGAAAATGTACACAAATTATATATTCCTACAACTCTCTGCATCCCGCCCCGACATTCATAAAAATTCAAAGAAAGCCTACGTATTTTGTTTTAATATTCTTTAATATGTTCAACTATGTAGAGAGCGGTCCAGGTTGAATGGTCAGTTTGGTTGGTGACCTCTCATCTCTAAAATGAAATAAGCATTGTTCTAATCGTTGAAACTGGCGTAGCCTAGTTTGTAAGATAAAAGACAGAGCATGAGGACTCTTTTAGTGAAGCCTTGTCATGGGCATTCGGGTCATAGGCATTCAGGGAGGGGGTCATGCCTGTTGCCTGAATGTGACCTGCCCAGTTTCACATTTCGTGAGCGGATGTATTGCGCAAGCATAAATATACATTATTTTCTTGAGAATTGTGTTTCACAATCGAAACACACTATACAAAATATGCAAAAGAGAAATTATGATATTCGCTCAAGGAGTTGGATGATGTGAAACAAGATCAGTTTTTGAAGAAAGTTGTCCTCATTGTAAACAAACAGTTGGTGTGCATAAATGCCGTAATACACGATGAAAAGATACAGATTTTTGTATTCTACTTTTCTATATAAAACCAATCCTAAAACTGCTATCCTCTTTATTAATTATCCATTGATATTCATTTACACAAGACCACCGTCCAGTATATACAAATACGGAAGGATTGTATATACTCACGTCTATTTCTGAGGTCTTCAGTTGAGCCAGCGATCCTCCAAATTGTTGGCAGTATTCCATTGCATCGAAATAACTTGCTGAGAAGGATGGCATGAAATACTTCACATTTGGATAATGAGTCCACTCGTCATTCTTAACTAAAATGAAAATTGTGATATTTCTAACCATTGAATTCGGATTAGGTCTTAATGTGTCAGATATAATGTCATCTAAAATCATAACAAAGAAACTAAATCATAACAATGTATCATTCAATGCTACACAATAATACAAATCCAAAGACGTCTCTTTTAAGGATGTATTGAGGTTATCATTACTGTTTCATCAATATTAAAACAAACACACATTACACCATGAAAACATGGATCTTACATTACAGAGCACACCTACCCTGAGGCCTCTCACAGATGTATGGTTTTTGACTATTCGAACACCAAATGTCATTCCATTTCCCATGACGTCCATCCATTACATTCTCGGAGTACATGCAGGCGCAGTAATCCATCATATCACCGTAGTTTGGTTCTCCTGGAGCCCAGGAAGACTCAGTTCTTCTATTATACCAAAAGGTTGATTTGAAAAATGAGTATAAAAGATAATCATCATTCAGTATAACGAGGCATTACTCTTAATACATCGGGACACTGGTATTTTACTTAATTTCAACGGGAATAAGGTCTATAATGCTTGTAAAATAAAAACAACCGTTGCTATGTAGAAATGCATTATAGTTGTTATACTAAAACGTAACTCAATAATAATTGGGGAAAATCGATGAAGCTATAATTGCTTTTAATTGCTTTTGCTACATAAACGACTGGTTTGTTGCTAATGAAAATAAAAGAATAAACAAGGAGAAGTTTAAATGAGAAAAAGAACGATATGAAATCACCTTTCTGCAGTGCCATCTACCCATACGAAACTGTTACCACTGCCTCTCCTTAGACCAAACCAATAGCAAGTGTTCGACGGGTTTGAAGATGTTATGAATCCTACCAGGAAATTCTTGTAAAAGAACGTGGAAAAAGAAGACACACACAACAAATTGTCATGAACGTTTAAGTCAGTATTTCCCACCTAGTTTTGCCTTCATTGGAGTTTTTATTAAAAAAGGCGTTTACATTTTACATATGAGTTATGAATTACATTTCTGGGCTGTCATAAAATGTTATGCTCCAGTCTATACATCTTCTTGATATTCATTTTCAATCATTTGAATCCAGGCTAAAAGCTCAATTCCAATATAAATATTTTTTAGAATCTGGACTTAAACATTATCATATTATGAATTGTATTACCTACGGCTAAAGAAAATGCCCCAGTGTCATGACTGTATGTTCCCTTACAAAGAAAACAAATGAATGATACGTTCAATAAATGTAAGAATGTAAGCTTATGTTCTCTTACATTAATTTCTTCTGATTTGATAATGGCCAGGTCACCGCCATTGCTCACACAGTGTGCTCTAGCATCATCATTAGACATTGCTTCTCCGTAGAACCGATATAACGATTGGCCGAAACGATGCCACGAACAACGAGAATCTGACGATGTAAAAATGACACAAGTTTAGTCCAATTTTCTCATTTCATATATTACAACTAAAATTATTTGCCGTGTTTAGTTTTGCTGTTGGTTTATTTTATATTTCATTAATTAATTAATTAATTATTTATTTATTTATTCATTTATTTATTTATGCATTTAGGCATTTATTTCATATTCATTCATTCCTTATAATTGCATTAGAATGGTGGTCAAAACAATTTCCAATGACCGAGCAACATAAACGATAAATGTATTGGAAGAAGATGTCGATCATCGCTGAGGTTACCGTTGCATTGGCCAAATAAATATTAATATAATTGCCTTTCGGACGTTGACATATGTGGACGCGGGTATTTGAGCAGGAACTTGTTTGCCATTTCCCTTGATTTACAACGCTGTATGAAGATTTCATGCGGACACATGCATGGCTACTTGACGGTTGTGAAGGGGACCAGTTCGAGTACCTATCAAATGAAATAAAGGTATTTAAAAAAATCGAGTTTATTCCTTTACTTTTATATCCACCGAAAAATACATTTCATCGGAAAAAGGTTCTCATATTGAAAGTCGAGATAGGGAAAAGCGAAATAATTTTCACAGATGTTGTGTGATAACGAATACATCTAGAAACTTTTTGGATATGACTACTGAAAAAAGGTGCAATCTGGAGAATAAACAAAAGGAGTCTAACTATTAAACATAATTGGCAAATAGTAAAGGTGCTGTCTAGGACTATCATGCCACTAATTGTCTAATAGGTCAGCTTGAAACCTAAAATTATTATCATTGCAATCATCATCTTCATAAACAACCCTTATGATTGATCGATTCGAATTTATTCCATTTCATATCAATTGTTTCCACAATAAACAAACTAGTTGACAAAGTAAGTTGAAAATTATAAAATTAAACGGGAACAAACTGGAAAGCATAGCATGTTTTGTGTAGGTTCCCAAGAATAATATAATATGAATGCCATTTTCATAAATCATTTTAAAGTGTTTAAGTAATCGAGATATACGAAAGAACAAAATGACAAGACGGGACACAAAGGACAGGAAACTGACATTATAAGATCGGACAAAACATGACAAAACAATTCATGACAGGACAAGACAAAACAAAGCTGCATACTTTCATGATTGCCACCATTATCATTATCATTATAGATAATTGTTGTTGTTTCTATTGAGGTCAGACTTGAATAGTAAATGCGCTATTATCTGACCCTTTAACCAGCCAATATTGTTATTCTGTTATGATTATACAAATATCATTCCATCATGATTATCAAAAATATTATTATCGTCCTTATCATTATTACAATTATTATTATCATGATTATTATAATTATTATTGATGTTGTCATTACAATGTCGCACCAAAAATTGTAATAATTTCTTCGTTTCTATTTTCGTGAAAAATGATTCTGACTATAAAGTTTATTTTTTACGGATAAAGTTTTCTAAGAATTCAAATGATCAATCTTTTTGGCGCTTTAGATTGATCAGTAGTGTTCTGATATGATATATCCATACCTTATCCATCACGAATAAATCATATTCTAATAATAAATTTATGACAAGAGGTGAACAAAAAACTGATTTTCAACATTGTATTTTTATAACTATCATTATCATTATTATTGTTAAATATTAACTGTGGTTGTGTGTCGTCAATCCACGTGTACTGTCCATCACCGTCTGAGTCATGAAGTCCTATCCAGTAGCTATATCCATAAGTAGATTTCAACGTGTAGGTGACGAGAAAAGCCTAAGAAGTAAAACAAAGAGTCATTGTGAAGAAGAAAAAAATTATTCATGGAGTATCCTTAAATATGTTTTTTTTGGCATCAATACTTTTTTTCCTGAAAAAAATTATGAATTATTTCTATAAACAGGCGCAATCTATTAAATATTCACATTTTGAATTAGTGGATTGAGCATTCGGCAAATCGTAGAATCAAAGAAAAAAAAGTACAATGAAATCACACTTCACTTTATAAAAAATGATCTGCAGTAACCATGTTTATTTACCTAGGATACACACTGACGTACAAAGTATGATAAGAGGTCAGGGATAATGGTTGTTACTATCATATTACATCCATGCAAAATAAAATGAGTTTACACAAAAAATAATGAAAATTTAAATACACATTTACAAAGAAAAATCAACTTGGTGAAAGTGGTTTCAATAGCCCAAAATAAATATTCCTAGATATTTTGAAATATCCTTTATAAATCTACATGATTCAGGTTAATATCTTGCGAATTTGTCAATTAACATGGAACAGCCTTTCTTACACCGGTTAAACAAGGGATGAAGGAATTATGTAATATCAGTGACAAAATAATATTGATGAATACATATTGCTAAATTTTATTCCACTTACAGTTTGTTCATGAGAACGAATAACTGCAAGATCTCCACCGTTGTCTTGGCAGTGGATCCTCGCAGCAGACCAGGTCCTTACATGGTTAACGATGAGGTACTGTGAATCACCATAGTCTAGCCAGTCTGGAGTATTACATATCTGCCCATTGACTGAATATGAATGTAATAGCATTACTAATTAATGTTGTATTATAAATTCATAGACCTCTTCTAGGCAATAATATCTTTTTGTTAGGTTTATATAGTTTTAAAAGTAGATAGCAACATAAATTGTTTTGTTATATCGTCTTCCTTCATGTTTATTTGGTTTGTGATATTCTATGTTTATACATTATGTATGATATATATATATATATATATCTGTTAAAGATGCTGGTTAGTTTTTTTTGTAGAAAAATATCATAATTTAATTTGATTTTCCTGAAGAGCTAAAATAAATTGGAAAACAAAATTATGATTAAAATTGTTTACAGTCGTGCAAACGATTGAAATGATTGAAAAAATAAATGAACAGTTTTGGTTAGTTCAATCAATTAATCTTGATTCGTGCATTTCAAGTTAAACACTGTCAGTTTTGTTTAAAATGTCACTTTGAAAATGCTCATAAATATATGTATATATTTTTTTGTGTCTTTGTATCTCAATCGAGAGAGAGAGATAAGTATTTAATTGAAGAAAGAAGTATGTAGGTTGGTACTGAATGTTGAGGTGAAGAAATGGTGAGAGTAAAGGTCTGGAAAGTTCTATTGATGGCAGAGAGTTAATTAATTAAGCTATGCCACGGATTATTGTGCTGGCCCAATATTATTTTGATAAAAAGGAAGGTATGAATATGCACCTGCTTTAGGTTCTGTATAAAACGTGGATAGGTTTGGCGTGAGTACAGTCTGAGACTTTGCCACACCTGAATTTTGAAGCCAAGAGACATATGGGATTTGGTTCTGATCTACAGCCATTGCTGATTTTTCTTATGATGTTCTTACTGGGCAGAATTCGTTGAGTTTCTTTTAAAGTCAAGGAACAGACGGTTTTGATTCGGCCTGGCAGAAATGGCTGATATTTGTTGTAGTTTTTGAATACTGCAATCATCGGTATCCGATTTGAATGTATTATTTTATATTGTATCACTTGGCTATTTGTTCTTGTACGATGATATTCGAAATGTCGGAAAATTAAAGGTATGACATTTATTTTGAACTATTAAAAAAAATAATTAAGTGTAATTTTGTGGCTTCCATATAACAATGGAAAGGAAAAGAGGAATATTTTGTTATTCTCGACTGTGAAAGTTAGTTTAATTCCAGTCGTGTGACATAAAAAGGGAAGCTTGAGAAGTGTGGGGGATGTAGGTCAATTACAGGACCAAGTTCTAGAGAGTCAAAGGAGGAGAGGAGAAGTAGGAGGTACTACGAGACTTGCAAGCCTTGAGATGAAAATCTGATTTCGATGTTATATTTGAAGTGTAACCCTAAAGGTTAACTCATTGTCTTTGTTTACAGCAAGGACTGTGTATGTGTTTTCTCCCCCTAAGTGAGGGTGTTTCTGTATGGTATATGACGTGTATAGTAAGTGAAGATATTTGAGTTACCATGTGACATGATAACAATACCAACAATAATACATTTACATAATACATACAATTAGAATAATATACATACCTAGGCATGATAAAAAGAGTAATAACAATTAAAAAAAAATACAAATAAAAAAATTATAATATTAATAACAACAATTATAATAATTCTGTTTCCCCAGGAAAGCCCCATCAGCATCACGCTGTTTTTGCCTTAAAAAAATTACCCCAGCCACTGTCAGGTACCTATTTACATTTACATCTGAATGGAGAGAAGCAAGTGCGGATTAATATCTTGCCAACGGGAATTAGTGCCCGGCTGGGATTTGAATCCTCAACCCTTGGATTGAGAGTCAAGTGAATGGACCAATATACCACGACACCTCCACAGAATAGGCGCCTCCTAGATCACTCTGGTTTGATTGTAGTTACTTGTTAAAGGCAGTAAAGATCGGAAATGGAGACATGAACATGATGAAGTATGCAATTCAAAATGGTAATACCAAAGTCAACAGGAATGTAATGAGTGCATTATAGGCTCCCATGGGATACAAGTGGGTGGTCATTCAATCACAAATATTAGATATGCTGAATCAGAGAAAGATCTCCAGAGACTCCTGAATGTAGTTGTAAAAGAAAGTGAGAGAATGGGACTAGAGATCAACTATACCAAGACAAAGTGCCTGGTGGTATCCAAGAAGAGCAGTCCAAAATGTAACTTGAAACTGAAAGAACAGATTATTAAACAAGTCTCCTCATTTAACTACCTTGGCAGTATGATCCCCGAGGATGCCAGATGTGAGACAGAGATCAAGAGAAGGATAGCTCTCGCTAAATCTGCATTTTCAAAGTTAGGCAAAATTCTGACAAATCGAACAATGTGTATGAGGACCAGAACAAGGGTATTGAATTGTTACATCTACCCAGTACTTATGTATGGTAGTGAAACGTGGAATTTAGCCTCTGATACTAAAAAGCGTTTGGAAAGTTGCGAAATGTGGTTTTTAAGAAGAATGATGAAAATCCCCTGGACTGACAAAGTTAGTAATGAGGAAGTTCTTACACGAGCTGGAGTGCAAAGGAAAATGATACGTGAGATGTTGATTAGGCAGTTGTAGTTCATGGGTCACATTACACGTAAAGAAGGCCTAGAGAATCTTGCTTTGACAGGGAAGATTGTGGGAAGAAGGAGTAGGGGAAGAAGGAGGATACTTTGGATGGACAGTCTGCAGAAATTGTTGGAAGAGAGAGGAGTGAAAGAACTGGGAGTGTTAGTGTGTTACTAATAAAGAAGGCTAGGGGCCGAGGGTTGTGGAACAGCATGATCGCCAAAGTCAAACGATATGGCACTGAGAGAGAGAGAGAGAGAGATAGGCCATCGTATCTTAATTGGTTTATTTTACCTTGCCATGTATCTCTGTGAAGGCTGATCATCAACACAAAGACAGTAAAAATCTGCATAGACACAGAAATGATTCGATGAAGGATATCCATCATACCATAAAACGTGTCTCATCCAAGATAATGCCCCTCCTGCTTCTACTTCCTGTACACAAGAAGGTTGATGTTCCAAGATAATGTATTTCTTAACGATATTTCAAGCACAGAAATTAACAAATTCTAATTTTCCACCAAGCTGTCGTTCTCAAAATGTCAATTGGTAGGTAGACGTAGTCAGGTAGTGGTGTTTTGCCGTACCAAAAACTTAAAGCATAGCTTGCTTTTTCTCGTTGTAAGTCGAAACGGATCACTGTTTTTGTAATGGCCAACTTCATCAAAGTGCAATGAAAGGTGTAAAACGTTCGTCACAAGCCCGTGAAATGTATTGATATGCACTTGACTCGTTCCGTGTTAATTGTTACTGGCATGATGTCATGTTTACATTTGGCATTGTACGCGAACCTGACACAATGCTCTATTCAAATGATACGAATGAGATCTTTTGAGAGTAAATTCAATGCTTGGGAGCTTGGTGTATTGCACATTAACACATATTATTTGCTAGCCACCTGACTCAACTTGATGCATAATTACTATTCGTTATGGAACCTTGTTTTATATAGGTACGTAAGGCTATCATGACGTTTACAGTTCCGGGATAGATCATAGATGCAACGAAAGCACTAAGGAGATATTTTATGTTTGAACCAGTCAAATTTAAACAAAATGGTTCTCAAACAACAAGTGAAAAAATAATATTATTTATTTAGAATTAGAACAAATGTAATAATGCATTGGGGCCCGCCACACAAATTTAATTTAGTTTTTCTTTTATTTCTAAACCTTCAGATTCTAATTCGTGTCCTAAACTAAGAGCATATGTATAGGCATGGTGGCTCAGTGGTTAAAGCGCCCGCCTCATGAACGGGAGGTCGTGGGTTCGAACCCCGGCCGAGTCATACCAAAGACTTATAACAATGGAACCTACTGCCTTCTAGCTAGGCGCTCAGCATATTAGATTAGAGAAGGGTAGTAATAACATTATGTTATGCAGGGCCCGCTGGAAGAACAGTTTCATAACTGAAGTGGCTACCCTGGTTAAACAAACGTTATTATTGTTATTATTATTATTATTATTATTATGCGCTCAGCGCGTTTAATAGTGGTTCGTTAAAATATCGCCATCATACGTTAAAGGGGCTGTAGCATGACGAGACTATATGCAACTTTCCCGAGGCCCACTCAGGGAAAATCGGGTATAATACAACTACGGACGACGCGACTGCAATAGGCCTAGTATTCACGTGCGTGCAACATACGCGAAACCGAAGCGTGAGGAGAACTTCGGTCTGTTTCGCGAACGCTAGCGCGCTGACCCAGTTCAAGTCTATTCGTTTAGGTGCAGTTGTCCAAAAGAAGACGTAGAAGGCGTCAAACAGTATTTCCCATGATACAGCCCCTTACGTTAAGCATTTGCTCTAGTTCAGTAATCATGTAGTCGTTTTGTAGTCTTTTAAAGATCTTTGGCAGTACGTTCCGTCCAACCTCCAGGAATCTACTCGTCAAGATTCCGTGCGTATTTTTGCGTTTTCTAGCTTTTGCAATGCGTTCATGTTAGTTTCTTCAATTGTGTATAGTGAGAATATATACCCCTAACGATATTGCATACGCCCTAATACAGTGCGTCCCAGAAAAAAAGATGTCATAAGAAAGGCAGAAAATGGACTTTCTAGAAATTTGATTTCTCTTTGAAATTCAGATACCGTCGTCAAACGTCTTTTTGGTACCCCGGCTCTCTTCATTTTTTTTAATCACCCATCCGTGAAATATGCATAATATGAGTTGCATCAAATGAAAAAGGAGGACCTAACCTTTTAAGATATGTGTCATTTATTGATCATAATTGTTATAATACAACATCGATAATTCTCAGTTTCGTTTTTTTCTGGGACGCACTGTATACTATTTTGCTTATATTCCCCCCGTATTTTAGTTTGAATACTTTTTTTTCCGTTTCTTCTAATTCCGTTCTCAATTTTGTTTACTTCTACAACTAACTCTTTCTATCTCACCCACTACATTCTTGTATTCTATCCCCTTCTCTCTCTCTCTCTCTGTGCCCCCCCCCCCCTCTCTCTCTCTCTCTGGCTCTCTCTCTCTATCTTCCCCTCTCCCTCTTGTCCTCTCCCCCTCTCTCTCGGTCTGTAGTTTAATGGCGTAGCATAGATGCAGTCATCGAGTAGGCAATTGCTTCATGGGGGGAAGGGCACACACACACGGCCTTACTAGATGGATAAAAGGCATTTAACTCCATGCTCTCGGAGCTATACCACTTCTACATGTGGATTCATTTCAGCTTCTTCATCTCGGGATAATGTTTTTTTTCTTCAAATCAATCCACTGGTCAGACCCCCCCCCCCCCCCCCATCTCTTTCTCTCACTAACGCTTTCTTTCTCCTAAAGGATGAACATAAATGTACCATGCATGTCAGCTTTATAAGGAATAAAAAAACAGTCAATTATGGTATTGTATTGTTCGGTTAGCATAATTAGTGTATTTTTAATCAGGACCATATAAAGCTTTAATATTTACAACAATTTATGATCACACAAGCATTATAAGAAAATCGTTTTTTATTCAGAAGAAATTGTGAGTAATACAGAGCGTCCCAGAAAAAACGAATTATATAAAAAAATAAAGTAGTGCTTGCATTTCCATAATTTTATCAAACGAATTCGTTTTCACTGGCTGCCTGCCGTAGCAAAAAACGGAATTGTCAAAAGACTTTACTCCGTTTCGTTGACAATCAGCCATGCATGAAGTCTTTCGTCTACGGCCAATTGTCAACGAAACGGAGTTATTATAAGTCTTTTCTTAATTCCGTGTGTTGCTAAGGCAAGCAACCAGTGAAAATGAATTCGTCACATAAAATTCTGGATATGCAACCACTACTTTAAACATACAGAACTTTGTTATTCCTAGCTCATTTTTCGTGATTGAGGTGTCATATGAAAGGGCAGGAACTCAACTTTTTGGAAATGTGATTTTCTTTTTGAAATTCAGCTACCGTCCACCAAAGGACTTTTTGGTTTCCTCCCTTCAAATTCATCTTAATCACTCATGCGTGAAATATGCATTATATGAGTTATATCAGATAAAAAAGGAGGATCTCAGCTTTCCAAATATGTGTCATTTATCAATTATAATTGTGATTAAGCTATGATCAGACGTCGGTAATTCTCGGTTTCGTTTTTTCTGGGACGCACTGTATATATTTCAAAATTTTCTATTATAATTATGAGAATTTTTCCGAACATCTGCACAGAAGTGAAAAATGTAATATATGATGAAATATGTAATCAAATGTTTGTCATGAATGGTAATATCAACATTTCAAAATGGAACGTCAGTCTCGCAGATGATTTTTTGTTCACGAAATATCATGCTCGCAACAAATTAATGCGACAAAAAATGTATAAAAGATGTACAACAAGAATGAAGTGTAATATTCTAGGAACAGCAGCCAATGTTATGATATAAAATTCGAAATAACCACCTAACTGTAGGGGGGGGGGGGAGACTACACAATTATCGATCTTCATAGTACTGAAAGTTACTTACAAACAAAATGAAATGTATATATATATATATATATATATACAGATCAGATTGATGTTGTCGGTACTGTTTTGTACTGCAGCATATAGAATATATGAAGACGACATTTTAAAACACATATGTTAAACAGATATCTATACAGGAGAACATAAGACTTATAATTGTGCGTCACCGTTTTGTTTCTTTCGTTTGGCTTTCAGGTTACTGCGGTGATAAAGAGCTATTCAACATGCTTTCCAAGTATTAGCCGCTCATCTAATAATATCGTATCATATAAATGAATTGTCGAAAAAGCTTACCATTTGATAAAGCCACGTCTATCAACATTATTGCGATGGGGGTAAATTTTATTTGGGTCATTTTCATTATCAATTTATAAAAACATGATTTCCCGATAAAGAATGTCATATATGTCGGAAATATATACATGGATGTAGTTTTAATATAGAAATATGGCAATTGTGTAATTAATTTTTCAAGCAGGTCCTTCACATTCCCGATACATAATGACAGAAAATGCAAATAATAAATGTGTATGTTATGATTAACTTGATTCTTCTTGAAAGAGAATAGATGTGCAAGGATTATGATTGTTATTTCAATAAAAGGTTTTCTTTGATTTCAAAACTAAATTGACAAAGAAAAACAACAAACTATATTCTGTCTGATATTATTTTTGATATAGGCTAAATCATGCACTTAATGGTATAGAGAGGGAGATGAAACATTAATTTATTTATAATAATTACAAGCATGATAAGTGTAAATTCAAGACTACTTGGTTCACGTGGAAATCAACTTTTACTAGAAATATATCTAACATCGTAAACTTTGGACAAAATAAAAACACACTTTTACATGCAGTTTGAAAAGGCTAGTGACTTTGACCATTGCAATGCATCATTTAGATAGAACTTTGCGGTGGTTTTGCTTTCTATTTACAACAAATCAGTAAGTCGTATGAATTTACTACACAAACCTGCACCCTTTAAACAGATATTTGAATAATAAGTGCGATTCAAACAATAGAAGTGACGTTGATTTATATTTGAAGTAATCATCATTTTCTACAACAAACACCATTATTTACTTCAAATTAACATTCATTAGGTCAATGAAATAACTTAGATAAAATTGTACGTTTTCATGAGTCTTAAAAAAAACATAATCGTGGTAATTAAACTGTTTTTCTTCAAAATATTGATTTTCAATACTTTTCGTAAATAAATCTTATACTTCAACAATGGAAAGAGAATTTGACAAAACAAGACAAATAATATTACCAGAGAGACAGAATAAATGAAGAGGAGACGATGATCTAAGGGAGATCCTTTGACCCTGGAATATTTGTATATTATTCGCTTTTCAAAATAATCAATTTGCATACAATAGAGCAATAATTGATCAAACAAAATGTTACATACTACAGACATGAATAATCTACTTTGAATAAATTTCGAAAATATATAATTTGTACTTCATAACTTTAGAACATTCACTTGGTCATCATGAATAATGCACCTCTACAGATGTGTAATAATGTGCCGGGCCGGGATTCGAACCATCAACCCTTGGACATCGAATCAAGATACATTTTCATCTAGACATTTCACGACCGGCAACCAACAAAGCTATATGAATTTAAGACTCAAATGCAACGTTCTCGTATACAGAACACCATTCAAACAACGCAAGGCTATACAAATTTAAAGAGAAGGTTGAGTTCTGGAAGAGGTGAAAAATAATTTGTGAGCGTTATCATTTTTATTATGCAAGTGTGGAATTACATCAGATAAGACATGTTCCTTGGAAGGCATGGCTCTTCATATACTAAATATGTCATGTAACATCGTAAAACTCCAGGGTAGGATTTTTACGCCACGTGTTCGTGTAGTCCCATATATATCTTTCTGTATACAGTGTTTGTAACTTTACCAAGACTTGGCCAAATTTCTGATCATTTTGAGCATTCCAGAACCTTGCAATACACACAAATTCTTATATACTAGATGATCAACCTTTTCTGATCGATTCCACACCGTTTCTTTCACAATGCAATCGCATGACCAGAACTCAACTTCATCTTTAAGAATCAAATGCAAAGTTCTCGTATACAGAGTACGATTGTTGGGGCTTTGGCTTCGGTCTATCCTGGCTCCTCCCAGTCTCTACATTGCCATACACGAGTGCGGTGGCACCTGCTTCCTGCGGATCAGTGACCTCATATGGGTTCTCTTCCGGGTCAAGTGTGTAGTCGATTTCTACGTTGCCATACGTGTGGTCCTCTATCGGGTATGGAAGCTGCTCATAGTTTTCAGTGTGCAGGTATTCACGGATGACATCGTAGACGAAAGCATATTCCTCCTATAAAAAACAATTGTATGAGGAGGTTCTATTTGTTAACTACTTGATATTCGTTGGCAAACAGGGAAGAGAAATGAAGATCACAAATAGAATAAAGATGATACTGTGAAATGAGGGAAATAAACGAATATGTTTTCGAACTAAAATACGTTCTTTAGAGGCTATATTCCTCACATGGAAAATAGAAGAAAAAACAGTCATAGACTTGACTCTGATCAATGTATTTCAAATATCTATTTCGATTTAACTTCTACCACTGCATACCATAGTACAACAAGGAAATACTATTTAAATGTTGTAATTACAGATGATATTTCATCATAGTTCATGTTTCTTATTTATTATTACAGGAGTAATTTGACCTGTGTGATAAAATTACAAATCATTTTTCATACCTCAGTTTGGACGAACTGCATCCTGTCAGCTCGCAGTATCTTGACTGTCTGGAAAATATCGACGGAATCTCCCTCAGCTATCTGAGCGATGCACTCCATAGCAGTGCAAAACACACCTGTTCGCCCAGCACCACTCCTTTAATGTTAAACAAAATGTAAATATATTAAAAGTACAATAATCAAGGTACAATAAGCATTAGACTGTTGGGCGAAATTATTATTCAGATTTGAATCAAATAAATTTCATTTATAGTAATAATTTTTTTCGCAACTGAATGACCCTTTATTCTAAAGCATATCAATTTATGCTAAATGTTAGATGTTAAATCATTGCCTCATGGTTGCATAAAAATACAGCAATTTTGTTTTTAATGACCGATCCTGCTTCCATGGATTTCCAATTGCGAATGTTTAGGATATTTAAAGTAAGCATTGAAAAGATCCCAGACTTACAAACAATGGACAAGAATGGAGAATTCTTTCTTGCTGTTAGTGGAACCTTTGATAGCACGGATGAGCTTGATCAACGACCTAGCCCCTAATTGTTGATCTGATCCATGTTTAGGCCATCCATGGAACTGGTACTGAGTGACGGTGTGACTGGTCTAAAAGAAAAGAAAACAATACGATCCGTGGAAATGGATGTATAAGGCGTATTAGAATTGGTCCCGATTTTGCATCTTATCTTGTATTCTACCAGAAAACTATTGTATTTCAACTGCCCTCATATTTGAAAAAAGTTGATATTCATCAAGTCGCAGTTTGCCCGGTTTGGAAAACTGTTCTGGTTGAAATTCATAATGTGGTTCGCTAAAGATATTAGATTTCTTGATCCGTAAAACAATCGTTTCAAATAAGAGCATCCCATCAAATTCCCGGCCCCTTCTTCAACAATCTCTGTGTTGTAAATGAAATATATGAAATGAGACATACTTTGGAGTTTCTGGTAACTTTCAGTTGCCGAGTGGTCATGTCCCCATCAGATGATGTTGATAAGGTTGAAACTGAATAGGATCCAAACTGAGCCGAGTCAGCATCTGGCCAGTATTGAGCACAGCTCTAGAATGAGGAGAGGCAAAGCTATCAGTGTAAATGTTTATACATACATACACACATGTTAGTCCTTCCTTTTCTGTCCGCTCCTATCCTGACCTATTATATTTATATTTATATACCTCATACATAGATTGTCATTCACTGATTGGTCAAAACTATATCACATGTCAAGGAGCATTTCGATCTATCAAGTATCATTACGTCAGAGGGGTTGATAGCTACTATCAAACCCTGGGATAGGACCCCTAACCCCTCCCGCGACTTAGTTGCGCACACAAATTTTTTGAGTTGCTAGGCTACCGCAATCGCGCGGTTACGCGCAGCGCGTAGGAATTCAATACTCTTGCCTTGGACTTGATGTTGGATTTTTCTTATTTGGGTTAGTAAATTCCTCTTGATCTCGTTTCCTGTTTTTAGAGCTAGATCTAGACCTACAGCTAGACCTAATCATGAATCAATAAAAAGGATGAGGTATATAAAACAAATATGGACTGCTCTGTAATCGGATGATGGTGGGAACTACCGCTCCCTCGGTGGTGTAAACACTACCTTGGGAGTGATATTTCCCACCATCATCCTCATGAGCAGTCAATATTTGTATACTGTTGCTCTTACCATTTTTCTTTTCTTTAATAGTGCAACAGGTTTCTTGAATCGCAATTACTAGTCACTTAAGCCATGTTACTTTTTAAATGAGCCTTCTGGTCCTGGTGTAGAGTAGCCTTATGATAACCAAGTTATCCCAATAAAGTATACTCCAATACTACTACTAGTACTACTACTACTACTAATACTACTACTACTACTTCTACTACTACTATTACTACTACTAATACTACGACTACTACTATTGCTACTAGTACTACTACTACAACTATTACTACTTATACTACTACTACTATTACTACTACTAATACTACTAATACTACTATTGCTACTAATACTACTACTACTACTATTGCTACTACTACTACTACTACTACTACTACTACTACTACTACTATTGCTACTAATACTACTACTACTATTGCTACTAATACTACTACTACTACTATTGCTACTACTACTACTACTACTACTACTACTATCGCTACTAATACTACTACTACTACTACTATTGCTACTACTACTACTACTACTACTACTACTATTGCTACTAATACTACTACTACTACTATTGCTACTAATACTACTACTACTACTATTGCTACTAATACTACTACTACTACTACTACTACTACTACTATTGCTACTACTACTACTACTACTACTACTACTATTGCTACTAATACTACTACTACTACTATTGCTACTACTACTACTACTACTACTACTACTTTTGCTACTAATACTACTACTACTACTATTGCTACTAATACTACTACTACTACTACTACTACTATTGCTACTAATACTACTACTACTACTATTACTACTACTACTACTACTGCTACTACTATTGCTTCTAATACTACTACTACTACTACTGTTATTCCAGGGAGGAGCTCGAATCCGTTTGTATAAACGCCACCGATGGGAATTCAACATTTATCATGTTAAGTATATAGATTATTTTTATCAAAACAAAAGAAGCAATACAAAATAGCAAGGTCTGTGAACCTCCCAAACTTAAACTGAGACAATTTATTTCAAAATGTACATGTTATCGCATTACTACCTTGTCGTTTTGGCTCTTGTCGTTAAGCATGACGACAGTGGATGGTTTATTGTCGATGACCATAGACCAGAAATCAGACACAGTGGTTGGCAGCGGCATCTGGGTTGTCATGAAGGTACAGTGGATCCCCTGAAAGATGAGGGAAGAATAAATACAATATCCAATAAAAACATGAGGCCCTTGCCACCTACTTCCAATGTCATGAGATACTCTCAGAGCTGTCAGTGTCAGTATCTTCGAAGCACTGGAACCCTGGGCGGAGGGGCTCACTTATTGCACTGCAGCCCCACCCTACATTCCCTATGACTATCAATCAAGTTTGAATTCCAACATAGTAATTCTTCTATATTAATTTCTCCTATAGTACATTGTAAATTATAATGGCGACAGTATATGTACATTTTAGGGTGTATAAATCCCGCCCCCCCCTCCCACTCAGTGTTATTTAGGGTACGCGTATGCTTGTCCCCTCTTTTTGAAAGCACCCCCTATCTGAGGACTGCCAACATTTCCGAACCCCCCCCCCCCTTTCGCGGGCTTTTTGCGGGCTTTTCCTGCCTTGAAGACCCCCCTAAATATGGAAAATGCTCAATGTACCTCCCTAAATTCGGAATTATTTCTCAGAAGTTCAAAGACATGAGAGAAAAGAAAAACAACAAAACATCTCCTTTTTAAAGAAATCTCCGAGTGAAAAGTCAAATACACCCCCCCTGTATACAATTCTCGCACGAAAAGTACCCATTAACCGGACATTTTGGTAAAACGCATGGAATCCCTCTGTTCTCGGAGTGGGGGGGGGGGGGGGGTTTAAATTGATCCACAATTCAATGACAATGAGCGTCACTAGAAACTGGAAAATATAGATAATATTTTAACACCCATCAATCTAACCGTGCATTTAAAAGTTCCCCTTTCGTATTAAACGAAGTCCCAAAAATACGATGGGAAACACAAATAAATACTTGTTTGTGCTTAGTATTAATAATATCAATAATACCGATATTAGCACATTATGTATCTATGGTAGTTGCATACGCCCAAGGTGTCTACAGTTTCTTATGTTGAACGCGAGTCAAATGAAGATGTAAACGGTATCGATGGCATTTAATCCTTCTGACACTAAATTGCAGTGTAAACTGAATCACTTGATTCAAAAATAACATCTCACCTTCATTTGACTAGCATTAATGTAATCATGATCTGGGGAGTCTAGCATCACACGATTCCTCTGCACTAGAATGGTATGGAAACAAAAGAACATTTCAAACAGCGTTACGCTATTACCCTACAACTCAACATTTACACTAAAACAAGTATGAGTATTAAAGTCTTTCACATTGTTTGATAGCGATTTTGGATTTTAGATATGTATGTATTCAATTTTTGCTCTTTGAGTCTCGTTATACATCACATGCATAGGGATGGATCAAAGTAGAGGTGGGATCACCAGCCCCCCCCCCCCCCCATCCTCCTCACCCTCTTCATCTTATGTGATATCACCTCTCCACCTTCGAATTGAATTTAACGTATTCAAAGCTTTGAGTATCCCCCAAACCCTACACCATTCCAACCTTAACTGCACCGTCTCCTGACAATCTTGAGATCCCCGTATGTTGTTATTTCATTTGCTCACGACATACATTTCACCACGGCGTTCTAATTCTCATTTGTCAAGAATCTACGATTTACATATTATGTCCACTGACGAAAATGATGGGGTTTAAATGGTGTGTATGTGTTTGTTTGTGTGTGTGTGTGTGTATTTGTTGGTATCCTAACATTACTTACATGGTAGGTTGTTTCCGTATCTATTCTTTGGGTGATTATCTCGAGTGCGTCCTGATCTTGTTTGAGAAGCCGGAGGATCTGGACAGAGGCTCTTCAAAGTCTGATTTAATCAGAGAATATGATGTTTACGTCACGAATTAGTTTGATCGTCATATACTTTAGTTCTGGTATATTTTTCGCGCATGCAGAAATATAGATTCAATTTTAATATTAGCAACGTTCATTCTGCGCATTTTATCCACCCAAAGGGATTTTTAAGATATTAACAAAATCGTATTACTATCTTGGCTATAGCATAGCTGCCTCAAGGTTCTGAAAGCATTCAAGGAATTACAGTTACTTCTAAGTAGGCACTCATTCACCCAACATAAGTTTAGATAGTGCTGCGAGTGAGATTCGAAAAAACACCATTCATTTGAATTACAGTTCAGTGATTAACGGATCACGACATCCCTAACATTTCCATTCTAAGAGCGCAAGAGCAGGTTTGTAAATGGGATATTTTCTCTTTCTCCATGAGTTGTTTCCACTGGGGCGAGGCCATTCCTGAAAAATAGTTTCGTTGAAATATCCATATCTCTCTCTCTCTATTTCAGGTTTTTTGAACCCTCCGTCCAGAGGAAAGTGAACAATGAACTTACTTGGAACAGTTACGTGGCTTATTATCAAGGTCAGAAGTTGTTCATTTTTACAGCTAAAGGAAGAAGAAGGCTATATATATAGAGAGAGGGAGATGGAGACAGAACTAAAGAGGGTTATGGTATGTGGACCTGCCCTTGCAGAACACCTGGGAGAGAACTAAAGTCGTTACTGTCAGTAGACATTCATTATTGACCGAACTTTTGGTAATGATTGGGATGTGTTACCTGGAACTCCTTGGTCATCTTGGACCGTCCACGTCCACCGCCTGAAGAGTGTAAGTCTTGTAGATGATCAGTGAAATGAACGACAGGGATCAGGGTATTCCTCCAGAGAAGATCCTCAAGGACAGCCCCGTAGATGAAGGCATACTGCTCCTGTATTCATGTAAGAAACGAAAGCTTCAAACATTTTGTATCAATTCCATCTGATCCACTAACATTTCTCATATTTTTACGAAATACGACGGAACAAGTACATCATAATTAAAGATTAGAACAAGCGGTGCCCTATGTCCATGTTATAAGAATTCTTGATATTCAACACGTTTCCTTTGATAATATCTTGTTTTATATCAACAACAAAACGAAGAAACATTCAAGCAAATTTTCAACACGTTCATTTTTTTAAAGGATTTTTAATCATTCAAAATTTAAATTTTCCATACAAGGTATGTTTTATAAATCAGGAAAGTAAACTTAACCCCCCCCCCAAAATACTGTTAGCATGTATATGCATAGTGATACTGTTTTTAATTTCATATTATGTCGCGTAGAATAATCATATGGCAATCTCTGCAAAAGCACATTACATTGAAATCCGTCGGTCATATCAGTGTCTAAACTGAAAAGTTTGTGTGCCATACGGCAGCAGCAGTTGGAGTATGTTTTGAGAGAGGTAACTGACCTGTGTTTGGACCATGTATGGTCGTTTCTGTCTGATGTTCGTCACGAAGTTGAAGACATCTACCATTCTAGTTGTCTTGGCGTGAGCTACGACGCTATCAATACTGATCACCACGCCTGTTCGCCCAACACCAGCACTGGGTAGAAAATATAATGATCAACTAATCAGTCATGTTATTGATTTTTTTTAAAGTACAAGGTCGCATTCTCTCCGGATGTAACGATGTGCCTTGACACTAGCTAATGAACGATAACACAAAAGTCAGCAAAATATTCACGCAATTTCAATTGAAATTAATGAGTGCGGGAACCAAGGTTTCGCTGTAGTAAAGCCCGATTATTATACGAACTTATTTTAGGAAGCTCTTTTTCGGCTAAGATAATTATTGAAATCTCTTATATTCTGATTATTTTAGTATTTCTTATAGCGAGCATATCGATAACACGTTGCGTAATCCCAACGTGATCTCTAACATAAACACAAAAAAGTATCAAAAATATTTCTTGAAGGTCTTGACGATGATGTTTGTGGTACTTGTTTTGATCTAGGTGAAATTGACCAAGAAGCCTACCTGCAATGAATGATCAGAGGATGAGTGTACTGTCCATGATCAGCTTTGACTTCCATGATGAACTTGAGCAGTGATGAGGTGTGTTTAGGAACACCCTTGTCAGGCCACTCTGTGAAGTGGAACTGAGTAACGGTCCTGTAGTCGTCCCCCTAGTTAGGAGAGCAACACATGTCATGCACAGTGAAAATGAATTGATTTAAATGATACATCAGCTTTTGTACCGATTATCAAAATATTTATCAGTTTTATTGTCAATGGTATCAATTTTTGTTAGTGTTTCCATGCACAGGACTTAGCTCAGAAAAAAGCATGAATCATGTTAAAATAAACTTCATGAAATAGTAATTTATAAAGTAACTTTTAAAAACTTCTATGAATGACTAAACTTGAAGTACCGTTTTCATAGATATTTTCCAAAGGGACGCGTGGTTCAATGATATTAATTATAATAATTCGACTGGTTCATGGTAATGGAAGGCATCATGAATAACTTCCTGAAATGTGACGTAGCAATGCATATGCAGATGACTTATCTACCTACCTTTCTCAAAGTCATTTTCCTTTTAACTCCACCTGTGCAAGCTTCCAGTGACTCCAGTTCCACTTTGATATTTCCAAACTTCACCAAATCGCCTGGTACATTAGGCCAGTACTTACCGCATTTGATCTATTTTAAGCAACCAAACATAAAATAATCAGATTAAAAAACCGTATGCTTTAATCTGGAGGAGAAATATTATATGATTATTGTGTACTAATTTTAATAATCTGGATTTATTTAGCGATTGATATAAATACTGTCTCTGAGCGCTTCACACATATTATTAACCTGTTTATCAGATTAATTCGAGCACGATGTGCACCATCTCTACTCTTTGAGGGCATATGGCAATTACTAACAAAAAGGCTATCGACATCTCACCAGGTCTACATTTCTCTCCTGGATATGGATTGGCAAATGTAGAATAACGAGTTGCCAACTACATCAGTGCCGGTATCGGGGATCGATCGACCAACGACCTTTGTATTTCATAGTGCTTAAACTTCTCCACTACGACTAAGCCATAGTATAATTTATTTAATCATCCGTCTTTCCTAGAACCCTACTTGTACTATCTGCATTGAGCAACACTTCTTTAAGCATTGAAAACGTCACTGACCTTATCTCCTTCCTTGAGCTTCGTTACCATGGCAATAGTCGTCACATTCTCCTGCCAGACCATCCTCCAGAAATCATCCATAGAGGCCTTGTTGGGTCCTTAAAAATATAATGAATTATGGCTCATCGGAAAATCAATGTTTCAATTGCCTTATGGGAATGACTACTGTCTTGTTTGGATCTTCTCTTTGTGGTTTTATACAAGAATAATATATTTACTTGAAATATAGTAACCTAAATTAATACGTCTTTCAATTTGTATTTTTAAATTAATCCTTGTTAATCATGACGGAAAATTTGAGTGGACATACCTTGTGATGCAATGTAAGCCTTGTCATTGTCAAAACTCTGTATGTGAAAAAAAGAAAAAAGAAAAGTGTACATAATGAAAAGTAGATCAAAATGAAACTATATATACGTCAAAGCTTGAGGAAAATGATAGTCTCTATTTTACAGCATTGCTTTCTCGTAGACAACTTTGTTCTTCTTTTTAATCGAACAGAAAAGAAGATCAAGAAAATCAAGTCATATAAAGGAATTATATGGCAGCTTCAACCATTATGGTGGGGTTCCCATAACATGTTTGCTGTACGTGAGTATGCGTGTGTGGATGCGGCTGTGTGCGTGTGTGTGTGCGTGTGTGTGCGTGTGTCTAAGCTTGTATGTGTGTGTGTGAGCGCGCGTGTTTGTAGATGTGCGCGCGCGTGTGTGTGTGTGTGTGTGTGTGTGCGCGCGCATGTGGTGGTGGTGGTGTGTGTGTGTGTGTGTGTTTGGATTGTGTAAAGATCCAGCGAAGGAAACGTGTTTTCTACTTCAAGTAGTCCGTCAACTCAAGCTACATCCTGTTAATATTTCAAAGTTTTTTTTAAAGTTTTTGTTAAGAATGATTTGATTCATATCATTCATATTGGACGCTTCATTCAACGACAACCCACTCTATAACATTAAAATGAAAGTACATTGTAATGACAATATATTTATAAATTAATGTATAGATATATTGATACATACTACCTTACTTACGGGAATGTAAGAAGCGTTAAAGTAATCGGAATGAGGGATATCGTCGATTACTTCTAACTTCACCCTCGCCGAATCATCTGGATAAAAGATAGGATATTTGGAGAAAAAAATAGTTAGCCAGTAGCTTTTAACATAAAGTTCTTTGCTCATGCAATTTCTTCGTTTATCTTCGTTATCGGTTTCCGGTAGAGTAGCAAACAAATTATAGTCAAAACATTAACATAAAACAGTACTGTATAGGTTTCAAATGCAGAGATTTGACAACGGACAAAACTCTTTTACTTTTTTATTGAGAGTGTAATACAACTTGCAACATCTCTTTACGGATGAATTATTGAAAACTCATATTCTAAATAAAGAATTATGACATGGAACTGATAGCATACATCGGTACATACATTGGTACACTGTAAATCAAACGAACTGTGATGCTCCACTGCAATCCACTGCAGTCAGCGCTACAGTTGCAAACTACTATTATCAAAACAACAAGTACATTATCTAGAGCTTTATTGAAGCAAACTTTTATAGCTATCCCTAACAAGTCAACATAATAAAGACCCTGTTAGTTTGTAAACTCACATGGTAAAATATTCTTGTATCTGTTTTTCGTGAAGTTGATCTCCTCTCGAGCCACGGTCTGAGGATAAATGTCTGGGCCAGGTAAGTCCTAGAAGAGAAAAGAAATATAATTTCGGTTTTAGTTTATTGTTTCACATTTGCATATATTAATATTATCATAAAACACTACAAATAAAGATGAAGTCTCGTATCTGAGACTAGAACAAAGGCGGTTGACATCACATCAGTTTGATTGCATGCAGTATGAAATGAACAGTTGTGTTTAAGAAAAGAGAAATATGGAGGAGCCTATAAGTGAAAATAAATGTTATAATGCCCACGGCGATATATTTCTGAAATGAATTGTTATGTTTCGTTACTAGTCATACTATGAACCTAGAAATATCATCTAAGGATAATGAGTCTCGAACGGCACCACATTCATGGATCAGCGGCTGATCGAGCACACCACAGAGAGAGCTCGCTACCCAGTGTTCTCAACAACACAATGTAGTCTACAAGTAGCGCACATTTGAGTGCCAAAAGAATTTCTCAAACGCAAACGCTTTAAAAGAAGACATATTTCTTGTTAACAGAAATTATCTTCATTTAACGTACATGAAATTCCTCGGAGTAGAGCGCAGTGTGTCTGTTCTTGTTGACGAACGCAGGGAACTGAGCCAGGGGTATCGGTTGACGTGTGCCAAGAGGTTTGCTGCTAGATCTGTCAGGAGATCCATCGGTTGAATCGAGGTCTAAGGACTTAGTTTGCCGTACAACGGGCTTGACGGCTACATGTGGTTTAGGTCTCGTGCTCCTTGAAGGTGTTTGGTCTCGGTTCGAAACGGAGGCGTGCCCACTGTAGTTATTTCCTGACACAATACATACAGAAATACATTTTTTTTTAAAGCTTATCTGCCGTAGTTTACAGGAGGGATTAGACCGCTCTGCAAGGTCACTGGACAGGTGGTTATCTCATCAACTCAGCTCTCAGTTAACATAAGAAAAAGAGGATCATGGGGGACCAATGGTCACCGATTAGGCATTGTTTGATATATAGAGGGCGCAAGTAGGTACCAGTAGTGCAGTGGACCTTTAAGTCAAACTGAATTTTACCCCCTTTTTGGAGGAGGAAAAGTTCTAGCGTGGTAAAACGCAGAATCAGCCTATACTGCAAATAACCAAGAAGTCCTTAGTTCCTTACACTTGAAACTTTTTTTAATTTCTTCCAAAAACTTGTCTTGTTCGTGACATTATGAATCAGGGAAGGGCATAATTAAGTTGTAAGAATTCTATGGGGTTAGAAAAATTAGAATATGATGTCTCTTTGTTGCCATTAGCACGTCGTTCCATGCTATTTTCAGGATTATAGTTTTTTCTTTACCTGATCATATTAACAACTATCAAAACATAGGCCTACCTTCTAATGGCGTGTCTTGGAAATTCACTGGTGCCTGAAATTGGTCCTCGATGTTTTCTTTTTTAGACGGATTACTATCATTCCTTTGGAGAAAAAAAAGAGAACCAAAAAACAAAGGTTTCAATGCAAAAGACGAAAAGCGAAGAATAAGTGAGCAGAAGAGAAATTTACGAGAGCTGGTAACTATCAAACTTAAAGAAAAATTTCATCGGTAGAGTATTCCTTGAAGAAAGGAATAGAGAATTATCAGAATGTAGATAGCCATTTATTTTTAAATTTCCCTATTCTGCTTGTTCTTAAAGTCTGTACATAAAAAAAGTCCATTTGCATCGAGAGTATGGTATACAGGGGATTACTGTATAATTACTATGGAAGTATTAAAGTGACAGCATTGTACATGAACACTATAATCATGACTGAAAATAGAAAATAGTTCACAAACCTTCGTCGTTTGAACACGATGATGACTACAATGATGATAATCAAAATGATCAGAATGGCGCCAACGGCTCCACCTGCTGCCGGTGCTATAGGACCAACAGGACCTTTATTTGGGATCAAACGAAAGAGAAGAATGAAATCAGAAATCTTTAATTTTCCCCAAGAAAATTAAATTGTTCAAATATTATTTTTTACAACCCCTGTATGGAAAAAAGACCATTCTGCCACCAATAGCAAAGAAAAACTGTGTTTGATTGATCGCAATTTAGAAAATTAATAACTTTTCTATTTTTGATCGAAATTTGATCAAATGTTCACTGACCTGTCCCTCTTATTTTTCTGCTTCCATTAAAACCAACTTAATACCAGGGTGGACATCCCTCTTTACAGTTTGATTACACGCCTAACATTGTTTTCAACAGCACGCGCTGCTAAGTTGGAGGAAATCGCATAAAACCGTCGCGATTGTATTTCAGTTTTGACGCTTTAAATGAATGTATGACAAGATGAGAGAAACTTAAACCCCACCAGAAGACCATGTGGTGCGTCAAGCTGGACAGTAGAATTATATTTGAAAAATGTGTGCATGTTCCGTTGATTTTGTTCCATCTATTTATAGAGAGCATTTTCACATCTGTAAGGGTATGGCCAAGTGTGGATGTCAGTAGAATAGTGGTTGTAGTGTTATGAATATACAGTGCGTCCCAGAAAAAAACGAAACCGAGAATTATCGATGTTTTATCATAACTTAATCACAGTTATAATTAATAAATGGCACATAATTGTATAGCTCAGATATCCTTCCATTTGATGCAACTCATATAATGCATATTCACGCATGAATGATTCAAATCAATTTGAAGAGAGGGAACCAAAAATTCATTTGGCGGACGGTATCTGAATTTCAAAGAGGAAATCACATTTCTAGAAAGTTCAGTTTCTGCCCTTTCATTTGACACACCTCAATCAGGAAAAATGAGCAACGAATAACAAAGTTATTAGCCTGAAACGTCTGAACATTGCAATGAAGCATTGGTATAATACGATCACCTTTTCTATGGGATATACTAATGCTTTTGAAATTGCCCTGAGTTGATTTTGCAATGGTGTTGAAGATACTGGGATGGGTTCATTCTAATGTTCAAAGCAAGCCTTATAATTTCATATGCGTTATATTACTATCACTACTACATACACATGTATGAACACAACATTAATCAGCAGTATACTGCTCTTACCTGATTGTATCGTCTTAGCATTCACAGGTTCTGACCAATTACTAGAACCAGCTCCATTAACAGTCTGTACCTATATAAGAAATGTTGATATTATAACAAAAATAATTCTATACGTTTAACCTTTTTCTTGAAATGTTATCATCCACGTAAGCGCAAATCTCAGGTTACTTATCCGAAAGGAACTTGCTCTGTTCATGTTCTGTTAATGTTGTAACTCTTTTAAAAAACACCGTACCTGTTTGCCCTTTCAAGTTGCATGTAAAACGACACAATTCATAAACAGAGTATTGCCAAACGGAGAATATGCTCTTTTATGTTCTATCAACACAGGTCCTATAGTGTAAGTTCTAAAAAGCTCATCTCCAGTTGTCCTTTCAGAGGCCAGGTGACGTCAATTCTCAGACAAAAGTGCTCATAAATGTCCCCTGCGTGCATCAATTGTTAAGTTCATGCGCTTGTATTGCATCATTGCATTGTATGCTAAAGTTCATATAGAGGTATCCCCAATCATATTCTTTTGCTACACTACCAAGCAGTCCATAGCAATGTTTATGCCTGCCGTTTTGACCAATCACAGGCCTAGAATATTCACATATGTGGTATATAAATACCTATCAATACATGTAAATGTATTACCTGGACTGAGTAGCTTGTTTTTGCTGTCAGGTCTACCACAGTATGCTCTTCTTCAAACGCACTGTTCAATACTTCCTCTGACTTATAGTCACCATCAACAACGGGGTCAGTTTGCTTGAAGCGGATGATATACTTCTGGATGTCACCATTGATGTTAGATGGTAGAGGGGTAGACCAGGATACAGTGAAGGAACTTGTAGTACTCCGCGGTATAGCCACATTGATGGGACTAGGTGCAACTGTGAAGGGAAAGCAGGAAGGTTTATATTAACAAACTTGTATACTCTTGTATGAGAGGGTGTAAATGTGCATGGATCGCAAGTTCTTTCTTCTTCTTCTTCTGCTTCTTCTTCTCCTCCTCCTTCTCTTCCTCCTCCTCCTTCAGGTTGTTATAATATCGTTATTACATGCTATTTTTCATATACATGTATGACCCTTTGATCTTTGAACTTCTTACTTACTGCCCATCATGCCTCCTGGCACATAGGGCAGCAGCAAAATACAAAAGTATTCCACTTCTTTCGATCCTGGGCCAGTCTTTGGATGGTTCCCCATGTGTGGTTCAGGTTTTTTTTATTTCCCCTTCTTCAAGTGATTTTAGGACGATTTTATGACGTCCCCTCTTTCTTTTGCCTTCTGGTGTCCAGTTTGGGGATGTTCGTGTGATATGTCATCTATGTTCTTTCTCATTACAAGTCCGATCCATCTCCACCTTCTTCTCATGATGATGTTCTGTCTTGATGGCCTTGAGCATACAGTGCTTCGTTTGAAATGGTGTTTGGCCAGAAAATGCGACATATTGTTCTCAGACTTTGTGTGGAAGACCGACAGCTTATTGTGGTAGTTTTTCGTCATTCTCCAACATTCAGAGCCGTACAGAAGAGTGGAAAGGACACAGCTCTGGTACAATTTTAGCTTGGTCTTGGTGCTGTGCTGCTGTGATCTCCATATATTATTGAGCATTCTGAATGCATTTCTGGCTTCTTTAAGACGGTTCTTAATGTCGTTGCCCGCGCCTCAATCGTTCCTGACAGTGCTGCCCAGGTAAGTAAACTCCTTAGTTATAGGTAGGTCTCCCCCGCTGTTTGCTTGTATTGATAAAGGGTCCATCACCTCTGTTTCACCTGACTGATCTTTAAGCCAATTTGCTGGGCAAAAATCACCGTGTCTGGATTCTTTTTCTTGCATATGCTGGTGGGTGTGTGAAAGTAGAGCGAAATCATCTGCAAAGTCGAGAACTTCAAGTGTAGAAAAGAGGGTCCATCTTACGCCTCTTTTTTGGTCTTCGGTTGACTGTCTCATTACCCAGTCTATGGCGAAATTGAAGAGCAGTGCTGACATGACACATCCTTGCTTCACTCCAGTCTTCACTTGGAACTTATGGTTACTGTTTCCAACTCTGCATGTGAAATTGGTGTAAAAGCTCTCATTACAAGAAACTAGCTGCTCTGGTATCCCGTATTTGCGTAGTATTCGCAAAAGGCTGTCTCGGTGGATGGTATCGAATGCTTTTTCAAAGTTAACAAAATTAATATAAAGTTTCCTCTGCCATTCTGTGCATTGCTCTACGATATTACGTAGTGCACATATCTGATCAGTGCACCCTTTTCCCTTCCGAAAACCTGCCTGTTCCCTTCTGAGAATTTGGTCAACAGCATCCATGATACGGGTAATAATTATCTTTGCCAACATTTTGCTTGGTATTGACAATAGTGTGATGCCACGCCAGTTATTGCAGTTTATTAGGATCCCTTCTTTGGTTATTTTACAATAACTCCCTCTGTCCAATCGTCAGGAACTGCCTTCCTCTCCCATATAGCTGTGAAGAGTGGCAGAATGACTTTTGCTGCTAATTCTGGTCCGCCTTAAAACCTTTTAAATCATGACCCTACAATCTACTCAGTTCATAGGCTCTGCAAGAAACAGACGTCCTGAATTTGATAGTAGGTTTTTTTTTATTTGTCACGTCCACATAGACGACGTCAAAGATGTGACGTCATTTCGGCGATTTGCGCATGCGTCGGGTCGTCTCACGTCGTAAGGCCAAATTTGAGAACGCGTTCATCCACGATTTGAGGTTCGTCAGAAAACTCGTACCCCCTCGTCAAAATGACGTCATCTTGCTATACCGCCGCGTTAATCAGAAAGGAAAGACCGAAAGAGAAAGCGACAGAAAAACAAAGAATAACATGAAAGAAGGTGATAGAAGGAAGAAACAAAGAATAATTTAAGGAATGGTAGGAAAAAATGATAGAACTATAAAAACAAAGAATTACATAAGAAAAGGTGATAGAAGGAAGAAACAAAGAATATCATAAGGAAAGATAGAAAGAGAAAGTGATAGAAAGATTTAAACAAAGAATAACATAAGAGAAGATGATAGAAGGAAGGAACAAAGAATAACATAAGGAAAGACAGAAAGAGAAAGCAATTAAATGAGAAAAACAAAGATTAACATTTAAAAAAAGGTAAAAGAAGGAAGAAACAAAGAATAACATAAGGAATGGAATGAAAAAAAGATAGAACGATAAAAAACATTATTACATTTATTACATTAATAAAAGGTGATAGAAGTTTAAAAAAAATAAAATAATAATAATAGATACAAAGAATAACATAAGAAAAGAAAGAAGAAACAAAGAATCACATAAGAAAAGAAGGAATAAACAAAGAATAACATAAGAAAAACAGAAAGAGAAAATTATAGAAAGAAGGCAAAGAATAACTTGACGAAAGATTTTTTGAAAAGGATAGAATAATAGGCGAAAAATAACATAAGAAGTGAAAGAAGGAGAAATTGAATAAACGCGCGCGGGGGTCATCGCGTAGAGAACGGGCGTCGACTAAAAAGGAAAAGGGTTATAAGGTAGTGAACAGGACGGGTGTCTGACGCCAATTCGCATCGAGCAATTTTTGCATACATAATGAGCCCCATGACCTTTGACCTTTGACCTAATGACCCCCAAAATCTAATCAGTTCATTGACTTTGCAAGATACATACATATCTTGAGTTTGATGATAATGCGTCCGTCGGTTCTATCGATAATGCGATCACAAGCTATGTTTGCATACATGATGAGCCCTGTGACCTTTGACCTGGCGATCCTAACATATAATCATTTCATTAGCTTTGCAAGATACACACATGACCCGAGTTTGGCGGGAATCAATCAACGGTTTTTTGAGATAACGTGATCACGAGAACGGGACGTACAGACGGACGGACGACCGAAAACAGGCAAACTCTCACTTTCCTGAAATTGTTTTGCAGATAGTCTCATTGCTCCTGTGATTCTCCTCACCGTTATTTGGCAGCACCCGTTGGAAAATGTGTTAAACTCAAACCATATCAGAGGTTATAACAGCGATTTATACATCTTTTACTCTATCTATCGGAATAAGAATATTTTCCTTTCAAGAATCCAAGATATCTAACTGATGAAGTCTTACCTTCTTCAATTGTTTTGCCGATAATCTCACTGCTCCTATCACTTTCTTCGTCTTTATTTGATGCAGTCAATTGAATGGTATAGTCCAGATAGGTATCCAACTCTCTTATCGTGTAAGAGCTTGTGTTAGGAGCCATGAGAGAGTTTAAAGGAGTTAATCCAGTAGAAGCATAATAGATCATATAATGAGTTACTCCACTCTTGCATTCTGCTGATTCTGAGGCGAGGTGCTGAAATTAAATTAAAATTCTATTTCATAAATCCCCAAGCATTTGTACACCTGTTTTTAAATACACATTTTTTCGTTTCGTCAAATGTTGATAGGTATGTAAAAGAGGCATCCAGAATGCCGAAGGCATAATAGTGAAGTTGGTCAATTATCGTTCATATTTGATATATCTCGATTACATTTTAGGTAAAAACAAGTCAAACCAAGGTAAAACATATATTTACCAGCTCCATAACATAACAGTGCAGTTCTACATCAATATAATAGCATTATGACTATTAACAGTTATGTATTTTCTGTTCTGGAAGAGTCTTTTCATCCATCTTCATTTCACTAATACCCCATTCACAGTGGTTTTGAAATTTGTAGCGGCGTTGTAGCGGAGCGGCGACACCGCCATAACACCGCTACAAATGCATTCACAGTAGAAAAGTTATCCCGCTGCAGCAGCGGGATAAATATCATGTACCCATTCACGCTGCAGCGGGTGATTTCTATTACCTCTGTAACAAACACGTGTATGCATGGCTCATGACCCGCGAGTGACCCCGATATGACCGGAAATACTTCAGCGCGGGGTTTTCGATTGCTTGAAAAAAAAAAGGTAAACATGTCAAGTTGCTTTTTGTATCCTCGATCATATTACTTTTTAAAAAACTAGCATTTTTATTGCTTCCAGTCAGAATATTTTAATTTTTTGAAGTGTGAAATATTTTTATTTGGATAATTATAATATCTACATAATAATAAAATCAATTTGAATCCACTGGTTACTTTATTTCTATTTCACTTTATGTTCCCCATTGCTGGAGAAAAGAGGTCAGTGATAGGTAAGTAAACAAATCACACGTGTTTGTCGCGGTGTTATAACGGAGAGCCTTAACACTGAGTAAACACCGCGACAGCAGCGGGACTGTCCCGCTGCTGTAGCTAGGCGAACCTAGCGATAGTTTGTCGCGGCGTTATCGCGAGGCGGTGTTATCCCGCGATAGTTTATAACGGGTCCGAGCCTTCACACTGAAGACAACACCGCGACGGCAGCGGGACAGTCCCGCTGCTGTCGCGGTGTTTGAGGCCACTGTGAATGGGGTATAAGTGACCATAAAGCTATTCTTAAAACAGTTCATACCTCCCATGTCACCACTAGCTCTTTAGGGTTGGTGGCTGAAACTAGTAGTCCAGTTGGAGGAGCACTGGGTTCTGAAGTTAAAAACAAAACAGTTGTTTAGTTTTATTGTATTCTTAAAGTTTATATCCATTGTTCCATTTGTGCACTGCTGTGCGGAATTAAGTTGTTGCAAATACTTACGGAAATGACCTGTATGTGAATGTAAACAATCGTAATCGCGCTTATGCTATGGTCACATTACCCAAAAGTTGCCTGCTCGGCGGCCGAGCGGCGAGTTTTTAACCAATTCTGCCCGGCGGCTGCCCGGCCACCGAGCGGCGGCCGCCCAGGCACCGCTCGTTTTTAGGGCATCGCTCGGTCGCCGCTGAAGTTTTAGCGCGGAGTTAAAATTTGGGCGGCGCCTGCTCACTTTTCACTCGCCGCCCAAAATACGGTCGGTGCCTGGGCGGTCGCCGCCCGGGCTCCGATCTAATCGCTGGGCGATGCCTAATTCCAGCAGCGACCGAGCAGGCTACTGATCGGTCGGTCGCTGCTCTGATTTGTGACCATAGCTTTAGAGACTTTTGTGGTAAGCGCTTTATAAACACCATTCTTATTATTATTGTATAGAATATACTAAATGGCTTGAACCTATAGTAGACGAATTCATAAAATGTAGATGCAGGTCGTGGTAAAGTCGTACATACATACGCTCCAACAAGTACTCTTTGTGTGGTTTTAAATCAAACGTTTAGGAGTGAAACATAAAACTACCTTTGAGCAAAACACAATGTAGGGTACTATATCCATTTTTGGCGAAAAGCATTTTATAGAAGAAGGTTTCTGTGTCACAATTTAAAAGGGTAAAACATTTAAAAAATAGAATGTATGGAATGGTGTTACGAACCTCATACGTATGTATGTTTATATGTATATTATTGAGCACATTCACAGCAGACTCGTTTTAAAAGACCTGATTTTTTAAAATAAAACCCGAGACCATTTTTATTTGGTTTTAACTATGTTGCTACTGTTGCGTGGCAATGATTTTATGAAGATGTGTGACATATTTTACTCGTTGAACTACGTAGGTTAAAGAGCCTTCGATTAGTGGAGAGTGAATACATATCCCAAAAGTATGTACATATCATTTATACTTATAATGTAATACATGTACTTCCTTGTAAATAAATATACATTGCCAAATATCTATATTCAAATGTTTTATTCTGCACCCTGAAATCATGACAAATCCTTGGCACATTGAATTATTAATCTTCTGAACATAACTTACTTCTACAAAGAGTTATTGTGTTATTTCTAGGAGACTCGGGTCCTGTTCCACCTCTTCCTTCCCTCACTGCTGCTACACGAAACATGTACTCTGTGTCGGCTGTCAGGTTACTAACGATGGCTGATGTTGGGAGTGGGTCTACTCTCTGATCCGTTACCCAGTCACCATCCTCCTTTACAAAGACATCATATCCTACAAGAGGAGGATCCCCTATGTCATCTTTTTCAGACCATGCATTCCATTGAAGACCAACTGTAGTTGAGGTAGTACTCACTATCAATGGTGCTTTCTCTATGACTGGCAGAACTGAACAATAACAAAAAGAGACTTATTGAAATGCCAGTCAAAATCAATGACACACCTAGATTATTCCATCAAGTCAATATGTATATGAAATTTACCAAAGTACACATGAATACTTTAACTGACATTTTAAAGAACTGCTAATGTATGATGCGGAGAACGTGCATACGTTGTGTTTGAGCGAGCCTGAGTACAATGTCAGGGTTAATAATACATTGTAAAGCACTTAGAGACATTGTATATGTATCAAGTGCTATATAAACCCAGAATACTACCATTATTATATATTGAAATATAAAGTATATGAATTAATTTACACGTACATGTAGGGCCTATGTACGGGTGTACATGATGCGACTTGCATGTACAAACAACAGTATTGTATTAATATAACAGACATTCCATGTCCTCTTTTTGAGTAGATATTGGTTTATTCAGTATGCCCCCTAGGCTCAGCCATTTGTCTGTATATTCACACATATTTTGCAACACACGTCTGTAGTTGATGTTACAGGTGTTGTGACTGTTGTTGCTGATGAAATGGTTCTTTTTGACGTGGCTGTTGTTGTTGTAGTAGTGGTTTGTGGTGTAGTTATGACTGTCATTGATGTTGAAACAATTTTTTGTTGTTATTGTGGTTGTTATTTTACGGAGAGGGTATGTGCCTGCCTCTTCATTTGACATGAAAGTCCAGAAACCAGAGCCTCCAACACCATAACTGATTTAACCCCTGTACCCCTGTATTCAGAGAGCATGACTGAGAATAATTCTGCATATAAAGAAAGTGATATTATGCTTTCTATTTAACAGGTATCTCACAGAAGTACATTTGAGTAAACTGATGTCACGCAATGTGCTCACCGTAGGTTGCATTGGTAATAGGCGTACTGTGATAGCCTATTCTTTCAAACAAAAGAGAGCAAACGTATTCCCCATATTCCAGTGGATACACACTATCAACATCAAAGACAACAGCTCGTTCTGACCCTGAGACAGTGCTTGATCTCCTGGTGATTCCTGTCCTATTATTGATGCTTCCAGTACGTCTGTAAAGATCAACTGAGGATGCATCAGGAAGTGGAATACTCTCAACATAACATGTGAAGTTAGACGGTTGGTATGGGTTTACTGTCACTGGAACCAATCTTAATATATCTGTCAAGAACGAAGAGAAAAAAAAGGATTTTTTAATTTTTTTTTTACTAATACTTACAATTTTTAGCACGAAATCTGCTCGCTTTATGTATTTCACCTACAGTAAATATGGGAAACACATCCTTCATGAAATTTATAGAACATTGAACAATCATGATATCAAAACTAAAAGAAAGGATTTATTTGTATTAGAAAGAGTGACCAATTACGTATAATTTTGATATTCCTGTCAAAAACCAAGCAGTATTATAAATGGAAAGCTGATTGGACGTATAATACCAAAACACACACATACAACTTATTTTACATTTCTTTACTGTACAATAAGCAGATAAAGACTTAATTTCACTCAGCCCCCTCTGAATTTGGGGTAAACAGATGACAATAAGCCGCTTTTGTGATGACGTCATCGTATGTATACCTGTATAGACACTAAGAACATGACAGACAAAGAAAGCGGACAAAATATACAGTTCCTCAGGTAGACAAAAGAACATCCCTTCACTGCTATTATGTAAAAAGGTGAATATGCATGTGACACCTGTTCTACAAATTTTTACATAATAGCAGTAAAGGGATGTTTCTTTGTCTACCCGAGGAACTGTATATTTTGTCCGCTTCTTTGTCAGTCATATTCATAGTGAGAGCAGCTAGCTCAAATGTATGTCGCGCCAGCCAGCCATGCAAGTACGAGCCATCGCCCCCACGAAGAGCGAAAGGTGAAAACAGAGTCCAAACAAATATTGAGGATTGGTCAGCTTTCTTATTGTGTCTTACAGTGATTGATGCTTTGCCAGCGTTGTTTTATTTAATATATTCTGATCCTTTGTTTCTCACAAGTCGCAACATCATTATAACTATAGGCAAAAAAGTTAATTGAACTCCCATACCGCTCTCTTCGGCCGGCTTTGCTCGACTTTCTGAATTTGCCTATTCAGCCGTGATCAAGCCCCGACCGGCCCTGGCCTAAATCGACTCATGATAGCCTCTGACTTATTTCACATTGACTTAGCTAATTTACTAATAAGGATTTCATGAAACAATAGAGCTGTTCGATATTTATTTGAAGTTCGTTGAAATACTCGAATATAAGACTCTATATCGAAAAATACC